CCTTGTATGTAGCCCAAAATGTAAAAAAAGTGATTGTGGCATGTACAACAAAGTAATTGAATTTTCTTTTTCTATTAAGTTTTGATTTTAAGTGTATTAAACTTTTTGTTTGGAATTTTTATATGATGTGCGCAATATTTATACAAAAAAGCAAAATCATAGTCTATATTAATATAAAAATAATGGAAATTTGTTAGTTTAACTAAAACTCGAGAACGACAGAACCGATTTGACTAATTTTAATTTGCAAAACTCTAAGAAAAATAGTAAAAACAGCAATTTTATTGTTCTATACAAAGTGTGTGTCTGTCAAACAAAATGCAACTAAACTTTAAAGAAAATGCAACAATTTCTACTCTCAGGCAATTTTTTCTTGCAAAAATATAATTTGATGGTGTGCAATTAGGGACGGAAGTTGATATATGTAAGCATTATTAGCAATTAGCATTTAATTAACATTATATGATCAACAAACAGGAATACGAGTAAAATTAATGAGGCAACTTTTTTACTTAAATCTACGTGGACGAAGTCAGAAGCAAAATTCTGTCAAATTAATCAAATTATATTTGAAAACTTAGGAAACGCCAACCAAGAAAATTTTTAAGTAAATATTCCGACAAATTCCACTTAAAATAATGCCAAAGCAAATATTGGTAAAACATGTGATTATAAAAAATCTCAAATCATGACATTCTGAAGTAGATAAGTACCTTGCACAAGAACGATAATAAAGCAAACCTAGTAATAGTAACGTATAATAGTACAGAGAGGATAGGTAAGAATAACTTGCAGGTTTAGTGTGCGTATTTTCAATTACCCGTTGAGATTTCCAATTTGCTCAAACTTCAACTCAGAGATGCTTGAAGCGCAGCGCCGTCGGGATCGGCCAGGATAGTCGCAACTCGCGAGTAGGAGCGCGAGTTAATTTCGCAGATGAATAAATTCGATTATGGCTAGAGTTGTGAGTATCAGAATCGCTCAAAGCATAACGTGAAATCATTGAAAAGCATTGCAAAAATGTAAGGAAGCAGAAATATGCAAAAAAGTCGATAAATCGAAGTGGAACAAATAAAAAATTATGCTTTGTAATTTGATTTTTCATAACTTAATAGATATTATAAGTTTCTATGGAATTTAAAGTAATAAATTGAATTTTATTTCTGACACGCCAAAAAATCTACTTTTGACATTTTCCGTGAGATTGCTAACGATAAAACTATGTTAACTTTATCGCGATTTTCCACCTTTACGGGTTTTCTCACCCAAATGACATTTTACTCGTATATTCCCGCGAGACTAGCATATTCAGAAAATGCATGATAGTTAAAATTGAAAATTAGCAATTTAGCTAAAATCATCGATTTTCATTGCAGTTTATTCGGTAAATATTTACTTGACGACTGAAATTTGTTTACCGCTCCATGTAGTGACAGGAAAACTCAATAAAACCTCTTCAACACTCAACGGCCAACAAAGAAAACTCTCATCAGCACGCGTACGAACGAAACAAGAACCGTGCCGAGGACGTAATTGACTAAAAGGCTATTGTCAATATTATCCTGTGCGTCCTGTGTTTCGTCCTCCATTTATAGCGCTGAATTGCATCGGAGGTCCGTCGTTAGCACTCATAAAATGGTTCGGACATTCTGCTGCAGGTCCCGACTCGTCCTTGCGATGCAAACTCGATAATCGGCCGTTCGTCATTTGCACCGATTCGCACATTACGCGCGCCTGCCACGCTTCGATATCATTCGATATTAATTTACCTACGGTCTCGCCATCCTCGGCACCTCGTGGGAAGGACGATCGCGCAATCGATAACGACGCTTGTTTTACGGACGCTCACTTTATACAATGATATGAACGGATAAGACGTTACTTGTTAATGAAAATCCAACGGATAAATGATAAAAGTTAACGTAACGGTTTAAGACACACAAGTGTCGGCGACATTAAATCTAAGCAGCCATCGTTGATTTTTTATAGTGGTTTAGTGTATGAGACTTTGACATTTTGATTTTATTGGCTGTAACTGTTTTAGCGTCCAAAGATCAGGTTTAAAAGGTAATAAATTTAAAAAATAAAATTTTCATTTTCCAAAGGGTTTTGATAGCTTTTCAGGCTTTTAATAAGCGAACCGGGCATTAAACTGAAGTGCTTTTGAGTGTTGATATTAAATTTATAGAATTTGATATAAAATTTATATTACGAGCGGGGATTAAGGAAATAAAATTAAAAGGTAATCAAAATTATGATTATACCCACCGGGGTTGTGAGAGTTTGTAATATTATAGAATTACTCGTTTTGTATCTACATTGGTTACAACAATGGAATCAGTTTACAATTACAACTGTCATTCGCAAGCACAATACCTATTGGATTTTGTGCAGCAGTTGTAGACACGTGAATACGATTGAAAGGCAACACTATTAATTAACTTCTCTGAGTTTATCTGCAACCAACATATCACCAGATCTAACTAATCTGGATTAAAATGAAATAAAACAATTTTATCGTGTGCTTGTGTGCAATTGATCTCAGAATACTCAGATTGCTCGGTTGCACAAATGTGTTAACAAAAGAATAAGATTGAAATATATCCTTTTGTTATCGTGATTTGAAGTCCGCTTTCATATTGTGAACTCTAACCTTAAAGTTCAGCTACAATTCATGATGAGCATAGAACTCATTACTTTCCAGTTTATCGCTAGCCTCAATAAAACTACACAGCGTCTGCAGAGGTAAACTCGCCCCAAACCGCGCAGACGAAATAGACAATTAAAATCCAAGTCAGTTAGGATCAAGTTAATGTTTATTCTGTGGTCTTATACTCGTATATCGAATCTCTCAGTTTTCTTTAATTTTGAACTACGAAACAACGAAACTACGAATGCAAAACACAAACGCAATAAAATACGCAAAAATAATGTTTATGTCGATGCTACTAGCTAAAAATACGCTCTGCGAGGAAAAGTAACGCGGGGAAAAAGAGTGTAGGTGTATGTAAAGTTCAGTGTAGTGATATAGGTTTATAAAAAGCGAAAGGTGTAAAGTTTAGATTTTAGATCAATTACAACCGGTTGGGAAAAATGCATTTAGACTTTGATTAAGCTGATTTTTTTATGCGCTTAATATAATAATAAATAATAATAAAGTTAAAAATTAAATAATAATTACTTAAATTACTACTATTCTTATTTTTTCATCGAAGCAGATATAAGAAGATTATAATAGCACGATATTTTAATAGTAACAAAGAAAAAATTGAAGTAACTTGACACAAATTTCAATTTTAGTCGATTTTATGAATGATAATGGCAATTATCACAATAGAGTGCAATCGAATCGAGCGATTACTGCGATTACCGCAATAAAGAATGATTTTTTTTCAAAAAGCAATCACATCAGACAATTTTACCAAAGTAAGAACCCTATAGTTAACTATAAGTTTATGTTATCCCATATATTTTTTCTCTTTTGAAGACAGCGTTTGTTATTATTTAATTAAACTGTCGAACACATCCAAAGAAAACTTTATCTAAGGATTTTATGAAATATACTGTATATTATGTAAATATCTTCCTGATTATAAATGTTCATAAAAGTCTCCCACCATTAGACAACTATAAAAATCTGCATTAAAACAAAAGTAATATTTCCGAACCAGTTAAGTTAATAGACAACGTCAAGGGCAAAGAAAATACTCTTGTGGGTACGTACACGTGCATTGAATAAAAGGGAAAACTACTAATATAATGATCATATACTGCTTACGTCATTTCAGTGTATTAAATTTAATCTAAAAAGTAATTCCACTCAATTCTAACTTTTTAACCCTTGTTTCAACTGACACGCGCATTTATAAAGTTGATACAATTGGCGGGCTTTGTTTAAAACTTTTTTTTACAATTTACAAAATTGTTAGCTACTACAAAGCCCAGTTTGCTGTAATGATCAATAATATCATGTTTAAATATATGTTTAATCTAAAAAACTTCGATGATGACGGGGATGATTGATGGCTGATGTTAAAAAAAGATTAGAAATGTGATTGAAGTTAAAATCGAAACCAAAAACATACTTTTCCATACCATCACTCTTCGCGCCTTGCGTGTGCCAAAAGTTCACCCGTCACCCATCGGCAAAACAGGCCCACGAAAACTTGACGCCCGCCAGGAGGCAATTGCACTGGTTTCGCCAACCGCTCGGAAAACTTTACGCACGTGCCCCGATCGTGTGGTAATCCTCTGCGGATTCGTCTGCGGATGGCATGCGATCCAGAGACAACGAAACGCGCAAACGGTGCGTGCGACACACTCGCTCGGCTCGTCTGTCAGCGCGCTACTGACTGAACGCGCCGCCGGCGGGGACGGCGACGACGGAGGTGGCGGTGGAGGCGGCAGCACCACCCGACGCAACTTATACACCCACAGCTTAACCAGCGGCTTGCGCTGAATTAAAATCTACGGTTAGTTTATAAACTTTAATAAACGCATTATTCAAAGTGAAGTTGTAAATTAATTACGGTTTGCATTAACATTCAGTATATTATCCATCTGATAAACAGGTGCAAAGTATTTTCCGGCTTTGCGTCACGCCGTCACGCAGAGGATGCTCCAGAAGTTTCACGAAGATCGATAGACCACTGTACTTGCATAACAGCATATGCATTTTGTTTTATTTCATGCAATGCACTTCAAATTTCAACCATTATTCACGCTAACATAATATTTGCTACTCTTTTGTTATAAAACGTCAAAGAACAAATCGATTTGCATCAATACACTTTAACAACGTGTTACATTATAACACGTTTGTAAATAATTAATGCGAAATCGATTTCATGCGTGTTTTACAGTTTAATTTGAATATTTCAAATTATTTATTTAAAATGTGTTGTATGATTATAAGATATGCAACTTGTATAGCACTCAGCAGAGTGCAAGCCGTGACATTCGCTGACATTGACCCCAATCTTTATGCAACCTTCCGCATGGTCAGCTGATACACCTAACCTCAACCTGCCACTCCATGCCGAGTGTGGTGCCGAGCTCAGTGCCTGCGCTTCGTGCGCTCTATGTTTGACTACTTTTGCCGCTTTCGACCGTTTCGCAACGCTCATCACGCCGCACACATGAAGCCCCAATAAGTACGCCGTTGATTACACCAAACATTCAAGTAAATAAAATAAAAATTGCGTAATTTTGCCAATTAATATCATAATAACTTGTTTGCCCACTTTGGCGCATCTGACGCATTACCAATATTACGTCGCTGATAACGTCTACATTTGGTTGATTAGTATTCTCAGTTGATTTCAGTTCAGTGCCTAAAGAGTCTCCTGCATTGTTCAAGATGAAAGTGGTAGCGCTGGTGAGCGGCGGCAAGGATAGCTGCTACAACATGATGCAGTGTGTTGCGGCAGGTCATCAGATCGTCGCGCTGGCAAACCTGCGGCCAGCCAACGGTGAAGAACTCAATAGTCATATGTATCAGAGTGTGGCACATGAGGCAATTGAACTGATGGCTGAAGCAATGGATGTGCCACTTTTTCAGGCTGAAACTCAAGGATTTGCCAAGCAAACTAGCATGGAATATCAACCAACTGAAAATGATGAGATTGAAGACTTGTACAACTTATTACTGAAGGTTAAAGAGGAGGTTCAGGTGGATGCTGTGGCATCTGGTGCTGTGTTGAGTGATTATCAACGGATCAGAATAGAAAATGTGTAAGTAAAAAATAAAAAAAGTAGATGTGTAAGGGTATGGTTGTAAATTTGGGTTTTCTTTTTGTTTGTAGTTGTATAAGATTAGGATTGGTGTCATTAGCATATCTCTGGCAACGTAAACAAGCGGAGCTTTTAGAGGAAATGATCAAATGCGAAGTAGACGCGATTATTGTCCGCGTGGCGGCCATCGGCCTGGAACCACAGCGGCACTTGGGTCGCTCGATAAGACTGATCGAGCCGCACCTGCTCGCCATGCACGAAAAGTATGGTATTAATGTGTGCGGCGAGGGTGGCGAATACGAAACACTGACATTAGATTGCCCTCTATTTAGATCTAGGATAGTTATGTAAGTATTTTATTAGTTTAAATCATAGAATAGTAGAAAAGTTGCTGAAAAAGTGAATATTTTGTTTGGTTATATTGAAATATTTTGTTTATAGAGAAGAATCGGAAATTGTAATGGATTCTGATGATCCAATAGCACCCACAGGTTACATGAAATTGAAAAAAATCAAACTGGAATTGAAACTGCCACAGTTAGACCTCAACGCGCGTTTTGCCAATCTGCCACTCAAAATTCCCAACGAACACGTCCAAATTTTAGACCAACCTGATGATTCACAAGTAACAAATGGTAATAGTAAATTTAATTGTTATTTTTTTTTATTTGAGTTAATTTGCTTATTGTGAAGTAGATTTGGGCGTAAAAGGAGATTGTAATCTATCAGACGCAGTCGAAAATGCCGACATCACTCAATCCGAACACGTTTCTGTAAGCGGCAGCGGATGGCTGTACCTTGGCGGACTGACTGCCATCGTAACGGACAACAATCCTGCCGAGGCGTTCGAAAAAGCGATGGCGAAATTAAAGTGTAGGTATGCGCATCCCACTAAAACACGCACACTACTCTTTTAATCAGTTGAAATAAATTCCATGTTCTATATTTCAATAATCTCCAATAAATTTTCTAGGGCTGCTCTTGGAGAACAACCACCGACTGGAAGATCTGTGCTCCATCAGCATGTATGTGGCAGATATGTCGCAGTACGCTGAGCTGAATCGCATCTACTGCGAGACGCTGAACCACTTCAATCCGCCAACCCGTGCCTGCGTTCAAGTGCCACTGCCTGCTAATTGCCCAGTCGTGATCGAAGCGATCTCGTTCAGCGGGCGCTCGATGCTCGCTGGTGACGCCAATGCGGAGAGGTGCACACTATCGCATGCAAATTCGCATCGAAACGCGGACTGATTATATTGTTACAGGAGCACGATGCATGTGCAGAGCTTGTCTCACTGGTGCCCGGCCAACATCGGACCCTACAGCCAGGCGTGCCGCATCGGCGAGTTAATTAACTTAGCCGGGCAGATTAGTTTAGTGCCGGGCAGTATGGTCATGATTAACGGGGGAATTAAGTCGCAATGTCAGCTGGCGTTGCGGCACGTTGAGAGGCTACTCAAGGCTATTGGGAAGAGCGATTTGCGAGATGTTGTTCAGGTAAAATAATGATTATGAAAATTTATGGGTAGGATTAGTCTTAAACAATTTAATGATATGGAATACACGTTACTATAATTATAATTGCATTAAATTTATAGGGAATTTGTTATCTTTCCGATCAAAAATACGTCGAGCATGCCAGGAGCCTTTGGGAGGAGGAAACTAACAACGCCATTGTGGATTATGTCGTCGTTTCCGGTCTGCCACGCAATGCCCTTGTTGAATGGCACGTTTGGGCACACAAACACAACAATCAATTTGAATGTAATTCATTTATACATGTAGTTACATGAAACATTGATGTAAAATATTATTTTACAGACGAGGAAACTGGACAGTGCGTACAAGACTGGTCGATTTCAATCTTTCGTCGATGGAACTACGAGAATAATATTGCAACGATCCTTTGCCATGTATCGAACACGGATGCCAACACCGTCCTATCGGCGGCCATTTTTCGCGAGACGATTGAATATGTCTTGCAGAAACTCAACCACGGACACGAGTACGATCCTAAGACAATCTGTAGCGTAAAGGTGTTCTACCCCGTGAACAAGAACATTTGTGCCTACAGTTTCGTCAGCATTCTTGAAGAATTTCGACGAACTGTTCCGGTGGTGCACACGATTGTACCGGTCGTGGCGTTGCATCATAAAAACACTTTCCTGTCGATATGCGGTGTTCGAACGCAATAAGTTGTTAAAAGATTTGAATCGTTGTTGGCTATTGATAATTTGCGCCGGGAAGTTTGTTACTACATATATGAGGGAGCACCACTTTTATACAACAAATCTGAATGTTTAAGATTGTTACATATTTCTTATTGTTATACTGATAAGGTATTTTTGACTACATTTATATCTAGTGTCTTCTGAAATAAGAACGCTACTCTATACACTGCTTGACACTATCAAACAATTCAGATTTGTATTTACAAGTTTAAAAAAACAGCTGAGTTGAAATATTCTTGGAAAGTAAATAAAGTGCTTTAATGTAATATTACTCCTTGAGAAGTATCATATGTTAAGAAGTTCTGAGAAATTCAATGCCACAGTGCATTCTGGAAAGAATGAATAATCTGCGGTATATTTTTTGTCAATGTTGCGTTTTGAGTTTGCGCTGATTATTGTAGGTTATATTTACGTTTAAATTTTGCGTTTGTCATGCATAATAACAAAGAAATGTAATGAAATGTACTCTTGCCGTGGTTACTGTTGTACGTGTTAGAACTTGTTCAGTTTTTACACTTCATCAAAATGGACAATACGCTGCGCTCAGAGGATGTCTTTATTCAAATACGCGACAAATTGCAAAAGGATGGCATTAAATTGTGGCTCCCACCATATTTTGAGGAAAAAACTGGTGCTTCCAACAAAGATATTGAGGTAATTACAACAAATTTTTAAAAATCTGATATATCTTACTTATTTATACATCCATAGGCACTGTCACAGAGTTATAGTAAAACTTTAAATATTGACTATGACTTGTGTTTTCGAGCTGTGTCTGAATTACTCACAAATGCAGTGGAGAAGTTGAAACAACGTGATCGTTTCAAGGAAAGTGGATATGCCACTGTTAAAGTTAAGATTCTAAATGATGGAGTACCAAAACTAATCACGAAGGAGATTTTACTGTCAATGACTGGTGATGATTTCAGAGCATTGATTGCTGAAGAATCTAGTTTACAAATGCACAGGTAAAATATCATTTTTGTGGTATAATAAATGAAATTAGTGAGTTATATTTGCAGATTTAAACTAATATGTAATGGGACCATTATTAAGGAGGATATTCCTTTGTCTCAGCAAGGTGTTAAAAATGGAAATCAGTTTCTTTGTTTGGTGTTGAATCAGAGTGTGACTGTAATGCAGGAACAAGAACAGCAGCAAAAGGACATTGAGGCAACAAAGGCTGACACATCTTTATTGGCTGCTGATAATTCATATATGCATGTAAGTGATGTTCAAAGTAAAAATTCAAGGGAAGTAATAAATTATTTACTTTAAAGTTAGAAGATCAACATGGAAATGTGATCCAAATTCCGGCCCACGAAAAACAAGCACTAATGGTTGCAATTGCTTTACACGAAAAAGGAAGAAGTGCCTTAAAACGAGAGGATTACGCTCGTGCTTTGGTGTTTTTCTTAGACGCGGATCGTGGATTTAGTCAATGTAATTCACAAATTCTACAAACGGTTGATAACTACGCCTTGCTGGATTTGGACATTGCGTGGTGTTACTTGTGCCTTCAAAGTTTCGTGCAGCTGCCCGAAGCCTATCAACGTCTCAAGCGCTGCGAAGAGATGTTTCACAAAAGTTACGGACAAAACCTGGAACGCCTAATTGCTCTCAAAGGCTCATCTAGTAATGAATCCGCTCTCTTTATGCGCTTACATCTAATGCAAGCCATTGTTCTTTATCATCAAAACAAGCGTCCGGAGGCATTGGCTTTGCTGGAAAAGTGTCAAGGAGAATTGGCGCCATTAAAGGTCGATGAGGGTAGTTTAATGGCACTTGTTGAACTTGGTACGTAGAATCATGGCATTTTATTAGATATAATTACAAATTAATTTCAAAAAATTGATTTCAGGATTTTCTGAGGCCGAAGGGCGAATCGGTTTGAGAGCAACCAATGGAGATGTGAATCAAGCAGCGAACTACATCAATGAGAATCGAAACAAACGCATTGAGGCTAGGAAGAAAGCTTTGGCCGAGAAAATACTTCTAAAGTAAGAATTCAGCTATTTATTTTTAGATTTTATAATAATGTGCTTATTTATAGTGAAAAGAAGAAACTTGGTCGTTGTGTTGATGGTAAACAATACGTGGATCCTCGATTTCTCAACATGTTGGTAAATATGGGCTATCCAAAGGAAACAGCGCGCAGAGCTCTTCAACATACCAATAACGTCATATCAGATAGCATTCAATATATTCAGGAGCATCCAGAGCCTGGGTCTTCAAATACAAAAAGTCAAGAGTTCCTATCATTGCTTGAAGATTTAATTCCTGAGGTAATAGGAATATATACATTTTAAATATATTTATGATTATCACTTTAATTATATTTAGTTAACTGCGGCTGGGTTTGACACAAAAATGGCTCGGCTTGCATTGAGGAAGAACAATGGAGATATAATGAAAGCAGCTGAAGAACTCCTACAATGCAATGGCATTATTGAAGGAATTGAAGATTATCTATCAGGTAATATTATGTAGTTGCATCAATATTAAATGTACTAATTATAAAACATTTAGATTTTGAATTGGAAGGATTGAAAGAAAATCTTGAATCAGCAAAAAAGAAGGAAGAAGCATGGTCACGTTTGTCCCAAGATATTTCAATGGTTGATGATGACCACTTGGATCTATCACTTGAGAAGGAGGAGGAGTTTCTCAACCAGTATTTGTCGCTCCTTATGCAGTGATGAAACATGTTTTATATTTAGAATTGTTCAGAATGTTCTGTGAAACAGTATAAGTTTTGTAACTTTTTATGGAGGCATGTGATTTTGTGAGATTTTTGAAATTTTACGACCTACAAACCTCTTGTAATACTAGATTATATAATGAGCGTTATTTTTGTCATGACAAAAAAAATAAAATTGTGAAAAATATTCAGGAATATCTTCTTTTCTTTTTGGAAATGCCCTAAAACACCCATAACATGTTTTCTTTTAATTTGAAAGGTGAAATAATTAATTTAATTCATGTTTCTAATTGTCATATTTTATGGGCTGCATTTCAACTCCTAAAAATGTTCGCCTAACATTATAAATTTTTAAATTTACCGCCAACTCAATGAAATCCCCCACACATCTGTCGTCACTGAACTACCTCCTCGCACATTCTGTGATCCGAATACCAAAAAGCAAAATTCGTCGACTTTGCGGACGAAATTTGGTCTCAAAACTGTGGCAAATCAGTTCTTGGTATCCGGATCGCAGAATGTGTGAGGAGGTAGTTCAATGACGACACATGTTCGGGGGATTTCAATGAGTTGGCGGTAAATTTAAAATTTTTCATAAAGTTTTGGTAGAGTTTCTCATAGACAGAGGCCTCTACTAAACACGTTTTCGACGAGTTTAAAATTAAGAATTGACTTTTAAAATCTGAAAACGAATAAAATTAGGAATGGAAAATTAAAACTACGCAACTACAAAAGTATTGTTTATTAAACAAACAAGCTCTATATAGGCTGTAGGAAGTTTATACCACAAAATAATATAATATAAAAGTAAAATCCCTCTGTAAGGTCCAGGAATTACAACCAATTTTCCACATCGTGTTACTACAAGATTACAAAACAATAAAATTTAAACCGACATTTTGGGGCAAAGAGAGAATGTTTAGTGCACATAAAAAAGCAACTCTTTCGCTCTGGCATTATATGAAAAAAACTAGAAAAAAACCGTTTTCCACTGCATGTTTTCACAAAATTACAAATAGGTAGATTTTCCGCGGCCATTTTGAGGCGCTTCTTGACGAAATGTTCTTGAAGAAGGTTCAGCGTATATGAAATAACAACTGTTTCACTAAAGAATTACAAAAATAAACTACAGACACACTTGCGGTACACGCTTTTTAACCCATTTTCACCGCGTGTTTTCACTATATCACAAGTAAGTAAATTTTCAGCAGCCATCTTGGGGCACTCCTTGACGATGAGACCTCTTCAGCAGTGTCCAGCACAGGACTATCTAAGTTGCAGCACGGCGCAGTGACTTAAGTCAATCCATTGTAACCACAAACTGTAAACAAATCACAGAAATTAAATAAATCTTTCCTAAAGTAAATACTCTGTGTGAGGAACATATCTTATCTTAATTGGGAAGTTAAACCAACTAGTTTTAACTTCACTTCGATGAATGCGACAACAATCACATTACACCAACGTGCCGCGGAGATGATACTCGTGCTTAGGTCGAACAACAACTGGCCATTTTAAGCAATTTTTATCAGAAGCATACGCGTGCGCGGTGGACGTACACACTCACTCACACCTAAAGCAAATCCTTTGAGAAACAAGCAATTTTTCTATCATTACCGTAATTTAGACGTGGACATGCGAAGGGAAGACCAGAATTGCATTTAAATTGTATTATATAAACGAAAATTGCAATATTAAGTATTTTTATTGAATTTTATTGAATTTTGAATGTTCTCGTCATCAATTATTCAATAATACATAAATTTAAATATTTATTTCATTGTTTTATGGATCTCATCAAGTTTCACCGTAATTGCATCGATTGTATACAATTGAGCGCAATGATGCACCAAATACAAACTTACATAAATTTAAATAAATTTATAAATTAGTCACTCTTTTCGGTAATATTTAATGTAATTATAAATTATTCCTTCCTGCAATAAATTGTTTTTCATTAACAATCAAGAGACAATATAAATATACGTGAGATATATGAATATGTCTTTAATGCTGCTTGTGGTGGCTTTCCACGTGGAATCACCAGTCCTTTCCTTCCGCTTCTCGATTAAATTTTGTGACACGGTTTTCCGTTCTGTGACCATCCCAACAGCAGCTAATAAGTCAATTAAATATGTCGTCATATTTCTAAAATCGCCCGAGAGTTCAGCCGCTTTGTAATCCCACGGAAATGTGTGATGATAGTTGTGGAATCCTTCACCAAACGCAATTGTAGAAACTAAGTTGTTTTCCGCTGGCTTTATAGACCTGAAATTGCAACCATTGTTAAAATAGCTGTACGCATGTAGACCTAACCTAGCTTATTATAGCTTAACCTATCATAACCTATTGTGACAAAATTGATTCAAAAACATAACATTAAAAATTGAAAGTTTACTTGTCATATGTCCTCATTCCATACAAATGCGCAAAGCTATTTACACTCCACGTCATGTGCAGCACCAATGCGTAGCGATAAATTGTCCCATAGAATAAGGCGACTAAAAATCGTTCATTCCAGAAGTACATCGGTACCACCAGCGGCACAATAATTGTAAAAATGAACGAGAGTAGTAGGCAATATTTATACTCAAACATAACAGTTGGATTTGCTTTTAGGTCGGACATATCAATGGATTTTCCTTTTTCCTTGACATCAGGGTGTTTTCTCAGTAGGACCCAACCCAGATGACAGAAGAAAAATCCTTTAAATAAAATTTAAATGTTGTAAAATCTGTTATACATAACCACAATTAAGCGCTTTTGTTGTTTTTCTTTTACCTCGTTTAGAGTTGTACGGGTCAGCATTTGTCTCACTGTGTTTATGATGAAGACGATGATCTCTACACCACGTGAAAATACTTTGCTCAAACGCTGTGCAAGTCATCAACATTAAAAGAATATCCACAGCACGGTTGCCTTTAAATGAACGATGACTGAAATATCTATGGCGTCCGGCAGTGACACCCCAACCACTTACATGAGCATAAAATAAAACTAAAACAAACAAAAAAACTAAAAATAACATCAATATTCATAAACAAACAAAATTCTTACAGAATATCCGACTGTAAAGGTGTATATCAAAGGATTTGAGATAAATGCCATAACAGGATGCTGCATGGAGTGCTGATATTATAAACACATTCCTCCAGACAATGTTTTCTAACATTTTTTCTAAGTTTATAAAATTAACACAAGTTTAACAAGTAATACACCGTTTTCGATCATGAGCTCGAGATGGTCACCGCGTAAATAATGAATGTTCGATGTGGATTGGTCGCAACTAAAAATAAAACTGCATAATTACGGCCCGCGCACAGGACTATTATACTTGAGATGCAATTGTTCGGTCGAAATGTTCGCTTCCTGTACACGCAATCGCGCTTTCTCAGGTGGGGATTAAAGAGGGTATAATTTAAATATTAATTAACACAATTCATCTACGTATTAAATACATTTGGGAACAAAAAAAAATCATCGTCATTTGATATGTGATTCTACAAAAAAAACTTTCACTGCTTTCACGCTGTGAACTGGAACATATTTCATCACAAATGAATAAACATAATTTTACTTACGCACAAAACTATAAACTATGCAAGCAAAACAACGAACAATAAATATCCGAAAATGTTTTTTACAATACTCGTGCTTGATTTATACCCAGGATCGCCGGTGCGTTCTATTCGTTTACCTATCAACTGTTTGGACGCCGTTTTTCTTTCAGTGACCATTCCAAAATAGGCTAAGCTATCGATAAAGAACGTTGTAAAGTTTCGAAAATCATTACTCAGTTCGGCCGCTTTGTAATCCCACGGAAATGTGTGATGATAGTTGTGGAATCCTTCGCCCATCGAAATGGTGGACACGTATGTATTCTCAGCAGGATTTATATGTCTATAAGACAATTATTTAATGATTAATCTTTTTAAAATCATAGTAAATATATAATATCCTTACTTGTCATAATTCCTCATTCCGTACAAATGTGCAAAACTGTTAACACTCCATGTAATATGTAAAATCAGGACGAATCTATACACCGTCCCATAGAAAAATGTGACAGCTAAAGATTCGTTCCAAAAGTACCATGGTACCAGTGTTGGTATAAGCACAGTGAAAATTAAAGCCAATTGTAGACAATATTTATACTCAAACATTACAACTGGATTGTCTAGTAAGTCAGACATGTCAATGGATTTTCCTTTTTCTTTAACATCTTTGTGCTTACGAACAAGAATCCATCCAACATGACAGAAGAAAAAACCTTAAACACAATTAAATTAATATTAAATGAATTAATCGCCATTTTGGTACCCATTACCTCGATTTGAATTGTATGGATCTGCATCTGTTTCGCTGTGTTTGTGATGCAGGCGATGATCTCTACACCACGTGTAAATGCTTTGTTCAAACGTGGTACAAGCCATCATCGCCAACAGAATATCCACAGCACGATTTCCTTTAAAAGATCTATGACTGAAATATCGATGGCGTCCGGCCGTTACACCGCATCCACTCACATGGCAGTAAAATATAGCTTTAAAATAATTAGATTTCTTGAGACAACTGATACTCATACACTCAAGATGGCGGATACATACCAAACAAACGCGTATAAATATTCACATTTAGAAACTTTAAATAAAATCCATATAACGCAGCCACGTGTATCATACTCAACATAAACACGTTCAGCCAAACAATGTCTAAGTGCCCGAATCTCACCCCAAACCAATTTCGTAGTCTACAAATCATTTTTAACAATATTATGTGCAATATAACTTCTTGGCGTGAATTTAAATGACGACTAAATGTGCGCTTCTGCGATCAGCGAGTGTTACCAACGCCGAATTAATGCAACGGATGCATTATTTATGATTTACAAACATGCCGAAGTGGTGCGATGATCGATTAGCAAATGTGCTCGTCGCTGGACGATTGCACCATCGTCACAAATGCATTTTATCATTGTTTGCATTTATGCACTTCGAGACGTTTTGTTTACGATCTCATTTCTCACGGGTGCCGCCTCATATTCTGGAAACATGCGCTCAAAACCTTAATTTAAGTAAAACGCCGGCGTCAAAACGAGTGAAATGCACTTTTCATTGTTTGTAAAATGTGAATTAGTATTGTGACAATATTTCATTATTATCATTTCGCATTGCACAATGAAATCAATAATAAACAAAATATGGTATAGAAAAAATGATTAGGAATGGATGAATATTAATATATCAAATGTTCATTTCATTATCTCCCATAATTTGCATTTTCATTCAACTTTTCAATAATATTACTATCTATTATTATCATATACTCTCAGCGTCTCGTCCGTTTCGCATTACAAATATGTAGCTACTTTTGTATTATTTTTTTGTTGTTGTAGGAAAAAAACTAAACAATACAATAGGTAATATCAAATATGTAGATAATATCACAAAACAAAATGTAATAAGTAATGCATAACAATGTAATCATGTATATTCCGACAACCAATACTTAGTTATTGTGTGGATGATGCGATTATCAGCTTGACTTGTGAAATTAAAGCATCACACCGTGCGTGATGATTTAGTTTACTTGAAGCCCGCCTCCAAGATATGTAACGTAATTCCTGCTAGGTGTGTGTGTAAGTGTGTGGAGGATGGGAATGTAATCAAATACTGTCCCGATAATGTTATGCCGTAACTTACAAGTTATTATGATTCCAAATCAGATCGCGTGTCTTTTGTGTGAGTAGAGAGCTCTCGCGCATGATTCGTGTGCTTATGATTAGTTCGCTCCTGATTTTCATTGATTTGTCATCATTAGACACATAAAGCCTCATTATTACAACAATCAGGTTTAAAATGTCGTGCTAACAAGTAAAACACCGCAAACGTAAATAATATCCCATTTAACATTCGTCTCTGTTCGCATGCGCGTCCGCGGCAAGCTAACATTTATAAAAATATATATTCATTTGTCAAAACTTATATGCAACTTAAAAAAATTCTAGTAAATATACCATCTATATACAAATATCATATATAATATATTTGTTTTCTGACCGGGCGTGTCTCACGTGTTTTCGCGTTCGGATTAAAATTATGACTAAGAATAACCTTTGGATGCGAAGTGTAAAAGAAATATATATAACTGAGTGAGAGTTTGAGCTATGAATTAAGCAAACATTTAAAAGCAAGATAGTACTGGGTTGCTTCGCTGTTCACTGAAGGCATGCTTGAAGCTTCTCGATCCATTCCTGAGCACTGCCTGCATCACCAGCGCAAAAGTTGTAAGTCCTCCTGTTTGTTCGTAACTAAATAAATACACAATAAAAATTAATATTTTTAAATATATTTAATATTTCTGTAAAAACTTACGTCAAAGAATGATTTATCATCAGTTTTCTTAGGAGGACCTGGCGCAGGAGTGGCCTGTGTCACGGAAATGACTTCGGAAAGATCTAAACATAGATATTTTAAAGTTAGAATTTATAGTTATGTTGTCAATGTAAAACATACCAATGAATCCTTTGCAATGAGAATCTTCCATCGCGTCGTAGTATCTCAACTGATGTTTGATGGAATCCAGGACGAACCAGCGTTGCTTCCAACCCTTGAGCAAAGCGCCGCGTTTGTAGAGATATCCTTCGTGCGTTCGATTCTCGGCCACGTTCGAAGAAAATTGCTCGTAGTATTGTTGACTAGAAGTTTGTCTTGCACTGCCTGTAAAAGATATTTGAACAAATCAAGGATAAGACCCATTCAAATTTTCAAATATTGCTTTGAATGTTACCTGAACTAACTGAACCGTTGTCACCCCCAGTTGCCGTCATTGTTTGTGATGTGTTATTATCGCCGGCGATCTTATACTTCGTACAATTTTTGGGCACACCTTCAATGCACTTTTCATGGCAGCTATATCCACAATCCTGACATCTCATACCCGTCTATAAATTAAAAATATAAGTTTAAGTATGAATCTAATTAGATGCTAATAATCGCTGTCATTTTGAAATCTGTTTCTCACCTTCACTGGTCCCCAAAGTACATTTGCACATAAATCACATTGCGTTGGAGTTGTGTAATTATATTTTTCAAATCTGTGCGGATGAGAATAACCCAAAGTAGCTTCCGCTGCGCCCACCATTTTACCCCGCATAAGAATTTCTAGAGTGGACCTTTTATGAACCAACCGGCCATGCGATCTCACCAACGCAGTACTGAATGAAGCATGTCTTGTCAGTGAGTCCGAAGAAGGCAATTCCAATTTATCCCACAACACTTTCCACTTTTGTGGTAAATGTCCCAGCTCAGTCTCCAAGCGATGAATCTCCTCCAATAAATGTCCGAAAGCTTCCGGTACGCTGCGATTCGAGATATCATAACCTTTTGTAACAATATTTCTGGTCGATTTAGTTATCCCATCAGCTGCCGCCGCTTCTTCCTCTTGCTGTGCGTCCATTTGCACGATTTCGATGTCGTAACTGGGACCGTACGCCAGTTCCTCATCAATGTAATACCCCCACACTTCCAGGCAAGGAAGATGAGATTGCGGTCGGAGTACATGATGCTCCAAATCAGGGGTATACATCGAATTGAAGAACATCGGCGAACGTGCGTGTTGTTTCTCGATGTAATCGAAAACGGACTGGCCTAGATTAAGCCCTGAGATTGTACCAGCAAGCCTACCACCCGGGTAGACTCCTTCGTCGTCGGATATTGTATCTACGCTCTTATGATGCGATGTGAGCGAGCCCCGTTTGTCTTCCACTGCAGCCACACCGCTTTCAACACGTTCCAACTCGCAATCAAATAGAAAAGTGCGGAAGCGGCATGAAACTGAGTGATAAGCAAGAAAACGGAGATAGTAGTCGTTGAATTCGAATGCCATTGGGTACTGCTTTTGTATCTACATAAAAATACAAGAATAATTATCATCACATCCATTATAAAACATTTTTCTTTGGACATACTTGATGAACGACGTCTAAAAATTGTAAGAACGTCGGCGCAAACCCACTAGCTTGGGAAGTAGCGTTGAGGTTACTTCGGTGACTGAAACGATGGCCAAAACCAATCCACTCCTTCTCTACCAACACGCGGAAACCATCTAGTGTACGATAATGTGGGTCTAAACATAATTGAGCAATCGATGAGATTTGTGCGGTAATATCCCAGCCGTCTTCAAGGCAAATCGCCACTGATGATCCCTGTAAATCAAGCAGATCCACAACTGCGCCAGACAATTGCATTATGTTCTGCAACTGTTGCAGCCATTCCGAATTTTCGATCAATCTAAACAATAAATATAGAAAATTAAAAATACATTACAAATTTTTAAATAAATCAGATAATTACTTGTGATAACTCTGATCGGGTTCCGGTTGTGAGCTAGGAATACAAGCGCGCATGAGCTTCTTAAACGCTGCCTTCGTATGCCGCACGTCGTGATACTCCACCGGTATAAAATCAGTCTTTGGTGCGGATTCCACTTTGACGCCCTTCATCTGTGCTTTCTCGCCAAGGATGTACAATGCGGCACGCTGCAATGAATTAACACCATCGGTGCCGTCCACTTCCGCCGAGTGCCTAGCATTCGCCTTATTTTGAGATACATTGCTGAGCGATGCTTGTGAAGCGTGACGTTTATCTTTCAGTGAACCCCAACGCCCAAAGTTCTTGGGACCTTTCCCACCACTTGTTCTTTGAAAACCACTACAAAATATCATGTCCACCATTTTGTTTAATACACGTTAATAACTTACCCTAAAGTACCGATGGCTTTATTGAAAGGATTCGTTCTTCGTGCAACTTCAGGCGTTAAAGTCCCGCCAAGATGTTCCTCAGCTGCAAGGAACAAGGAATCTATACTAAGACTACTGTCAGACATGCCCCAGCCTTGCCGTTGGTTAAAAATCGGCGTTGCGGCCACCAGCGCACTCAAATATCGCTCCTGCTCCACTGACGACGTTGTTTCCGTTGAAGTGTTACTACTGGGATGGCTCTTTAGCATTCCCATTACTCCTTTTGCGTGATGACCAGCACCACGCAGTAACAACGCCCGGGTCCTTGGATGTCTCCATGTTATCGCAGGAATCCGTCCCTGGCGATAGCAACGACTGAACCGTCGGATAGATTCATCCGATACACTCGCCGGAGTCGCCATTAAAGCCGGGTAACTTCGACAAATCATATAAATAGAATTCACCGAAGTCAACCGGAAATGATCAGGCGCTGGCTTTGCATTTGACGGTGATCCACTTTCAGTGCACAGTCCCATGCGTTGCCAATCCCGTACATAACTACGCTCTGCTAGTCTTTCCAGCGTTTTCGTGTCTGCAGGTGTTGTGGTAATGGATATATTTGAGGGTGGCCCCGATTCATATTCGCCAATGGAGTCATCATCATGACCATAGTCATCCGTGTTTGGAAGACTCATTCTACCAGGTGAAGTGAGGTATTTTGAGTTATTTACTACGATGTTCGGAAGCACGTATTTTTGACGTTTCGAAGTAGGTTTCTGTTTGAAACCCGCCTTGCGAGCTGTTTTCCACAAAGTTTTCTTTGCAAAACCCCTAAAGAATAACATACAAACAAGTTAATTACATAGACCTACACAATTTTAATAAAATAACTTACGTTAAAGTTGAATTCTTCTCCTTGCCTTTGTGTAATGGCGTCTGCGAAACGACAATCTGCCCAGTAAAAGCGAAATGATGGAAGACATCGGGCGGATGCCGAATCTTATGAATACACTTCCGCAACGCTTCGATATTCTCAGCAGTGACCTCCTCGTCAAATGCGAGTTTCATCAACTGAAAGGTACAACTCCTCAGTTGTAAACCCTCCTGCAGCCATTGATCAAGATGTGCTAAATATTGTACTGCAACCCTTTTCTCTTTCGTCAACGATGTTACTGGGAAAGTCCTCACGATAACCTGCTCGCACGCTAGTGAATCACAAGGTGTACCCTTGAAAATAATCCTATAGTTGGTGATAAAGATGGCACCCTCTGCAGGCAACAATGGTGGACCTCCCAAATTACCAGGGGCTGATTCTTCTCGACCGTCCGGCAGAAGATAAACCCTCAGACCGTCTATGATAATTTCTTCGCCTGGTAACATGCTGGGCATGTTAATCTTAGGTTTCTGTATGGGAGGCAATCTCTTTGATTCTCGATAAACCGCCTCAAGGGTCTCAATGTGAATGTACACAACCCCAGGAACCATTTGGTGTAAATTGCGAATTTGGTCACGATTTACACCACCCTCATTACACACTTTATCAATAAACCGCGAAACCAAGCGAATGACGGTTGCTCCAGTTTCACCAGGATCTTGATCACCAAACCCTGACTCTGCATCCGCACTGTCACTCTCAGCAACGGAATTTGCTATACTATTACTAGCGCGTTCATCATCATAATGATGATCTTGTCTGTGATACTTCGTTCCAACGTCTAAAGGTATTAGCAGTGATATCATTCGATTAGCATAGTGTATTGCTTGACTGTACAGCGTGCTCTCTTCGCTCTGCAACAACTCATTCTGTTTCGCTATATCATAATTCGACCACACGCGCATTTGCTCGGCTGCGATCTCCAATGCGCTGGGTTCCGCAACTCTGTTAATAACACTCCTGCGATTTCCCCAATAAAAATCTTTACTATTGTTGTCCCTCGGTGATGTGGGACTAATCTTTTCAATCCCAAGTCGAGGACTGATTGTATCCAACCGTGGGAGGTACAAAGCTTTGATATCTTTCTGCACGTCAAGGTAGTACGCCGCCTCCCAGAATTGTTGATTCTGCCAGACGGAGTGCTCCTGAATGCAAGTGTATGCGAATTGTATCACGCCAGTGCACAACTTTCGACAGAAAGCCGTGGCTAGCGGAAGTAACGCCGCCGCAACGCCGTGTTCATCCATTGAGGAATCATCCTGAAGAGCGCAGTTCATAAGCCGGACGACGAGATCAAACTGTTGCGTATCCAACATCGCTTTATTGCCGTTCACATGCTGTGATAGTTCGTTACACAAGGCAAGGCGGGCAGCTTTTGATTGTAATGCGCGTTTGACCGCCGGGAGGGTTTTACGCGCGTCTGAGATTTTATTTTCGAAAATGCAATTGACGCAATTGCGGAGTACTTCTAAACGTCGTGCGGAGTTACTCACTGGGTTCTTGTTTTCGTTTAGTGTTGATATATGTGGGCCCATTGGTACTATCCGAGGTTGGATTGGTCTCAATGATTGCAACCTAGGAATTCATTTCTTTTATTACACAATGCATCAACATGCAGGACACAATTAATTAGTTCATGCATTTCTTTTTTTCAATAAAAAGGAATTAACGTTAGATTAATGTAAAAACCACAAAAATTATTGGAGCGGAGCATTTACACACGGTTTATACGAATAATTTTTTTAACAATTATCCAGTTAGACAAATTATTTATATACATACAAATAATAATCTCCGCTTCAACATTTAACACAATCAAAACACACCAAAACCATCAATCTTACCATGCATAGTCTCCGCTAAGCACAAAACAAGAATACAATATTAACACTGTATCTAATCATGACAAGTATAATCAAACATACTATTATTCCATGATACCCCATGCAAATCAAACAGAACCTACCTAGATTTCAAATCGTGTTTCGACAGTCCTTCCTCGATAATTGCTTGAACCTGCAGCGGATTTATCGTAGGTAACGCAGGTTGATGTATCCTTGCAAAAGCACCCTCCGGCGGCGCTAAGATCTTTTGCGCGTATGCTTGAGGATTGGGATTCTCGTTCGAATATAACTGCCGCGCCAATTCCTCCAGATGTGTAAGCATCAACGTCGGTTCTTTAGCCTCTTTCTTGAGCAACTCCCCAATATTACTATATAACTCATCCCAAACATCGCACGGCCTCCAAGGAGCGCCTCGCTCAGCGACAAAACTAGTAAAAAACATGCAGTCCAACACACGCGTGGTGAAATCGCAGTCAATCAACATGCGTTCGCCAAGAAATGCAGCTTTGTGGAAGGTTATCACCGGTTTAGGGTGGATGCGTATGAGCGTGAGACAACTGCGATAACCTTGTAAGAGAACAGCGAACAGCCGCATGAAGACCGCACGGATTTGCTTGTCCAGCATATTGGGCTGCGGTGCACGCACAGCCAGCGGAAGGAACGCATGATCCGCACAACTTAATTCAGGTTGCAGGATAAGGCTAAGCGCCTCTTGAGTATTACTTAACAGTGGTTCAGGTAGCAGTGGTAGTGAGACGCCGTCGGGCACAGTTATACTGCCTCCGTCCAAATCAGCAACAATTACATCCATCTTAAACCAAAAATAATACTTAGAAATGTTTAATTTTTATTAATGACAACTTACGAGTTCAGTTGTTTCCGATTTCAGTGAAGAATGCACGCCCATGATGAATGGTGTCGGCGTGGAGAGCACTTCGACTAGTGCAGCGGGCAACAACGGGATGTAAACGTGGCTGTATCGAAACGGATACATGAGCGCAGTGAGTGCGCGGCAAGCTTCAGTCAGTCTGTTGTAGCTCTTTGAATGGAATAGAATCTTGTGCTCTGTCATTATGGCACAGAATAATACTAACACATTCCTTATACCTATCATAAATAAAGAAATGATTAAAAATATGAAATTAATTTATAAAATCAAACAAACCTAATTCTTGGAATAATAAGTTAACAGAAGTATGCGTGACTGGCAGCGAGGGACTGATGGGCGGCTGCAACGCCTGCCTATCACCCGCCCCGATGCTGAACCGCACCTGGGGGCCACCGGGCGGCGGTACCTGAATGCATCCCAGGATATTACCGACCAGCGTCTCCAACGGCACGTCGATATTCTCAACGTACACCGTATAAATTATGCCTAAACAATTCTACAACACAAAACAATTATGTACACATAATCAACAAGTTTTAAATAATAACTTACTCTAAACGTTTCTATATAATCTAACCGCGACACCAGCACAAGGCATTTTGGTGCATACATTGTTGTATGATGTGAGATAGCTGGCACTGCGCGCACCAAACTATCTCCATCAACATCCTCATCCTCATCGACTGGTTTACTCGGCGTGATCGACACAGTCTCGTTGAAACACAGACAAGCACAATAGTGCCGGTTCGCGTCCATGTCTGTAAGAACAGACAGGAAGAAACGTGGTTCCTGTCTGTCCCTTGAGAGAGCCCATCCTTGTGGCTGGCAAAACCATTCTATTCCTTCAATAAAATGAGTATCCGGCCAGTCTTTCTCCGGAAAACGCTGGAGAATAATCCCATTGCTAGTGCCACTTCCTAAAATGCCATAAATAGTGAAATTAATTATGTTTTGGTTATAAATTTATAGAAAACATACTTTCTTTCGCATGATCATAGCCGACAACGACAAAATAATCAGCCAGGCGTGACATTATCTTGTCTAATCCTTCAGTGGCATCCTTTACTATTTACCATCCAGCAACAAACATTTTTTCTTGCACATGTTGTTCACTCCAAGCCAAAATCTGGCCGCTTTCTCTCTGGCGTTACTGTCTAGTTGGGCTGCTTGTAACTGGTTATAACCTTGCTGTGTGATGTTAATGATTGTAAAAGACACTTCCAGAAGCTGGGGCCGTCCTGCAGAAACGCGTTCGTAAACTCTCCTCCACAAGCCACACCCAGGCGAATAATATTCTCCAGCAACACGGGGAAGACACACTCAGAACGCCATTTTTATTATGCGGCCGTGGCGATGGCCCGCTGGTGCTCGCGGCGAAATCGTGCGGACGGCGACGCGGAGCCTAATTGATGAGATGAACGAGAATTAAATCACCTGGGCCACTGCCACAGGCCAGCACATAGCACGGCACAACGAACGCGGCGCAAAGTTTTCTGTACGATTTACTACGAGATCAACATTACACTTGACAGTTGACGTATGCTCGGTACGCTCGATAGATTTCTAATAAAGAATAACGCAAATTTATTAGAAAGTAGAACAAAAAACAACTAATAACTACTAAAGATGAATAGGATTAATAGTTTAAGAAGAGTTTTAATTGATGGATTTATGAATTTTGTTTGTTATAGGACAATTTACTGAAAATTCATCGAAAATAAACCTTTGGAATCGGAACAAACTTGGGTCCGGGAGGTGGCGCCCTCAATAGCCATAAATGTAAACTAAACATTTTAAAAGTTTAAACAGTTAGAAACTTCAAGTTTTAGTTACTATCAAATGTAGATAAAATTCACATGTAAAAAAAGAAAAAGCAACAAAATTCAGATGAAGATTAGAACATTCTTTTTAAACATTAAAGAGGTCAAATATAACACATATTAATTATTAAAACAAATAAGAATGAAAAGTGTGACTGAAATTTTATTGATTTGAATCACTTTTAATGAATTTTAAAGTAAATGCAATAATTACAGACATAGATATTGTTAATCACTCGACACAATCTAGGCAACTTTTGCTACCGGACGTCAGAAAAATCCGTTCAGCGCAGTGGTGTGCACTGAAATTATTTTCTTTTACTTTTTCTGCAATAGTTTTCTTCCCTTTTTGAATTCTTCTTCTGTTTTCTATTTTTCCTTCTCAATAATGTTATACTCCTTGACTATTTTCAGATTTTCTTTTCATTGCATTTGAATAATTGTTTTTCCTGCTTGAATATTATTTTATTTACCTCTTAGTTCAATATTTGAATTAGAATCAATCACTACATGCGTAGTAACCGACGTTTTATTTCAATATGGACTTTGTGACAACTGACTACAATGCAAATATTATTCAATTTGAATCTGAGATAACTCTTTTTTTAATACTCGTAAGGTTAAATCAAATCAAATTTACATTAATTGCAAAGTCCACTATCTAATTACAAAGTTTACAACTGTGTCACACTTATTATCAACTTGCGAATTGCAAAGCAAATAAGATAACACTTAAAATTCATATTGACACCCACGCAAAGCAAGTCTAGCGCAATATTTCTTCCAATTTACTCGTGCAGCGTAAACCGCACATGTCACATATGTGTAACACTAGTTGCTTACATTCACATGTAAACCAAAACTAAATTAGCGATAGAAAACGGCTATACTTGTCGGACATCAAGTGATATAAAGCAGTTGGCTTGCGCAAAAAAAAAAACCACCAACATAGAAACGCAGTCACTGATTACACACGCACTTAGCATGTGCCGCTACTTAAGCCTTAATCCGCTTGCACAGACGCACGGCGCAAAACAAAACAAAGTGGAAACGCAAATAATATGCAGGTCCGATTTGCGCAGAAAACGAAGAAAGTCGAAAAACGAGGAAATGAATGCCACCCAGCTCGAATAATTGCACTTGCGTGTGCATGGCAGCAAACACTTTTGCTTTCGATCGCTTTCTTTACAAACATCTACAAAACACCGCATACAATACTATGCACACAAACTGCAACTTACACAGAGTAAATCAAAAATTTCAAGAGATGAAAATTTGTGAAATTGTATTGCTTATGATAAGCATCATCATCTTTGCTCTTGTAGATTTTAATAAGAGAAGAGAGAATTTTAAGAAAAGGATTCATTTTGATTTAAACAAATGAGAAATACGAGTAATGCACTTTAGGGCCACCTCACAATGGTTTATATAACTATTAGTTTGATTAAATTTCAATATCAACTTTCATCCCTTATTTTACACCCTTAAAATTATATATTTGCAACAAAAAGTGGCGCATATCATTTTCTAATGTCTTAATTATCTATATATCAAAATTTATCAAAATTAATGCAGTAGTTTTTGTGTTAAAACGTAACAAACGTACAAAATCACATTAATTTTATGAAATTATAAATTACGTTTTTAGACATCCGCAGCTAAGCATTTTCAACATATTACATCATCCAGATATTGTGTATCATAAACGTTTATTGTTAATTTATTGTTACATTCATTCGAAAGGTGTGAAAATAATTACTTAGTCTGCATTTTGTCTAAGTCGACGTGAGTAAACGTCGGGGTTAGTTCAATGTCAAAACTATCCATTATTATTAAAATCAAACAGAAAAAAATCCCAGTTAGCAAATAATAACCATCAAACATAAAAATACAAAACTAAATAAATACATATTAAATTTCACTTTATAAACACACAGATATCAAACAATTAGACATACACATTCATTAAAAGAACGTAGTATCGTAACAATATCAAATAACACAAAACACAACTTATTAACAAAACTGATTAACGCACAACAAAAGATAATTGCATACAACTACAATGCGGCGTTGATTAAAGCTCGCGTGTGCTCATGCGCTCATTACAAGCATTGCACATCTTGGATGGTTGCCATTTTGTAAGCAGATGATTATAGGCAGAAGAATAGTGAGATACGTGCGAGTGGGCTCGCGCATTCCTCTTCCTCGATGGCCGTCTTGCATCTTTATCACCGGCGATGCATTTAAACATAATCGCCGCATTGTTCACCTGCAGTTTGCAGTCGCATCTCGTACACACACGTCGGCCATCTTTGCGGTCACCCGGTGTCGATTCCCAACCGCATCAAAAACACACAACAAGAATAAAAAATTATGGCGTACCTCGTGCTGGTCTTGATCATTCTCCAACTGGGCCTGCTTTGGATTATTCACGCGTGGAATTTGCTCGCTTAATATTCACACATCGATGTTTAATATTTATCTATTCGTTGCTATATTCTAAACACTTGCTTCACGCTAACTTTTCACTTGCTCTTGTAGGTTGCAAAGTTGCAGTTTTGCGCGTTCAAGTTTCAGTTCCGTTTAGTTCTTTGCACCGTCAAGTCGTAATCCGCGTCATTATGATTGAAATTTCAACGCGTTTATATGCCGGATGAATATTTGCATGTGATTCCATTTCTATTGTATTCGTTTTCGGTTTGGTTTTCATCGGTTGGTCGGTTAGTTTTCGTTCGTCAAAACAGCAGATGATATCGCACAACGCACGAGTCAGCTTGGCTCGTTTCATCATTGCAGCGCGATAAAAACGCGAGAGATTAATCATCGCCGATTTCAGTTTCGTTACGGTTTTGCTTTCGCGCGTGCTTGCAGCGAGTGGTGAAAATGTGCGCGCTCGAATTTTCCGAAATTACCTACACTGTCACATCACTAAATGGTGAGTACGTTAATTAATTTTGTAATTGGTGAATTTTTGGCATATTTGTTGATCGCAGTCGCGGTCTGGAAGTCAAACGTGTCGAATGTGTATAAATAAATATTGCCCTTGAACTGTATTTACATAGCGGTTGATAAAATATTTCTACACACCGACATACGCAGAAGCTAGCACATGGATGATAAGTGCTAATAATGAAATGGCGTTGTGGTCGTGTTTAACGTCAGAGTGGTTAAGAGTGAAGAGTTAGGTACACTTGAAATTCATTACGAATCGTTTGTTGGTTGGCTGCATGCGTCTTTGCATTGAAAAGCGAACAATAACGAATAATTTACTTGGTAAATTGCGCGACGTGAACTTTTGCATGACTTTTATTATTGCAGTTATGTGGTAACATTTATTACTTTTGTGTGCCGATGATGGTAAAAGGTGTGTTATAGTGATTTATCATTATTAGATAGACATAGAACATTGTAAAGTTTAAATATTTGTGAAAATGTTGCTGCTTAATTGTTTAAAAACGATGAAAATACGCTATTAATATTAATAATAATAATAATAAATTATATGTTAACTACATGTCAATTATTTACATTTTATGTAGTTATTGATATTAAATTTTGTAATTTAAAAAACTTAACGTTTTGAGTTGCGGTTTAAGTACAGAACAGCTGATTTATTACATTATGCATTGTTTGGTTACGATAGCTATGCAACTGTTTGGTCATCAACGTGAAAAAAGGAAAAACTATGTTGTGAGATGAAATAATTAAATATTTTTTGCGTTGGAATTTATTTTATGTTTTTGACCGCAACCACGAAACGTTCAGTTAAGTTAAATTCGGAATTAACATGAAAACCGGACTTTGTTTACCCATCAGCACATTTTCGGAATTTGCCTCCGTCTGTTTAATTTTTTTTTCTTATGCTAACAAACACACACATGACGTCAATTTTGATCAACTTTTACGTTTATAGGCACTAAAAAGAACATCCTCCATGATATCAACGGTTACTTTCCAGCGGGAAGGCTTATCGCCATTATGGGCCCGTCTGGCGCCGGTAAATCTTCCCTGCTTAATATCCTGACAGGCTTCAGGACGAAAAATGTCTCCGGCAAAGTGCGCATCGATAGCGTCGAGCGTAATGTGAAAGACTTTAAAAAAGTCTCTTGCTACATCACGCAGGACGATAATCTCTGCGACTATCTTACCGTCGCGGAGAATATGATGTATGCTGCGGATTTTAAATTGGGACCCGGTGATAATTACGAGTCGAAATTATGTCAGGTAAGATTACAATATTAACAAAAGTAAAAAATGCTGATGTGAATATATTTATTACGGATAGTGTGACTCACTGTCAACGTTTATAGTAGTATCGTTAAAAATTTGTTATTTTTATGTATAAAATTACGTTGCCAATGGCAACCGACATAATAACGAGCATTTTGTGTCAGTGTGTTGTTATTGATGCGATAAACAACCGCGATCTTTGACATTGACCTAACCTAAAAGTTAATATACGTCAACATCGAAAGCAATTTGACATTTGATAACCTTAAATGTCATTTTTGCATATTTGACAGTAAACCTAACCAAATTTAACCTAAAAATAATAAAAATTAATTTAATATATATTAGGTGAATGAAATCTTGATTTCTTTGGGTTTGTACGACCAAAGAGACACAATGACAGGACGATTATCCGGAGGAGAAAAGAAACGCTTGTCAGTCGCTCAAGAAATGCTTAGCGATCCGATGTTTTTGTTCTTAGATGAACCAACAACGTAAGAAATAATTATTTTTAATATTTTTAATATAAAACAAAATTTACGTTATTTTCAGTGGTTTAGACAGTTTATCTTGTTACCAATGCATCAGCGAACTTAAAAACCTCACACATCAAGGCAAAACTGTTATCTGCACAATCCACCAACCCTCCGATGGCATTTTCAAACTCTTCGATCAAGTTTACGTCCTGTCGCAAGGATATTGCACGTATCAAGGCGATATCAAACAGATGATTAAATTCTTCGACAAATTGGATCTACCCTGCAGTTTATTCTCCAATCCGGCCGATTACAGTAAGAATATTTACTTTTTGTTTAGTTTACTTAGTTACTTAGCTTTTACCTATATTTTGCAATCAAATAAATATTGCGCAGATGAACATTCAAATGCATGTCGCGAATGCATTTGAGTTATGCATTCGAACATTTGACGACTAGATCAAGGCGATGTGGTTGGGCAATGGTAAATTTCTGCATTTCTGCATTCTGCATGTAATCATATGTGCGGTTGTGGACTTTTTAAGGATTGTAGTAGCTATTGACACGTTTAGCCAAGCCAATGGCAAACATTTGCGAAATCTTTAATTAATAGAGCGGTGAAGTATGAGTGCAATAGGCAATTTGTAATGTTTACTTATGAAGAATGTCAATTATCATTCATTTATTACTTAAAAACAACGAGGTGACGTTTGTTAGGTTCAGGAAAATTTGAGAACGGTTAAAATTTACACAATTTTTGGTTTAAAATATTTCTAAAAGGCCATGTTTCAAGAATTCAAATAGCTGGAAATTTATAACCTGAAAAAAAAAACAAAGTGTGAATGTATGCAAATTTCCAACATGATGCACGGATGAAATAATATTGCTTCTTAATTTATTGAAAAGTAGTGTTTCTTTATTAAAAAAAAACAAACTATTTCTTAGCACTTCCTGAAGTTAATGTTATATAATATTCTCTCGTTATATATAATTATATTTACAGCAAAAAAAGAAGTAATAATCCTTTCATGATTGCACTTTTACCTCTCTGTCAATCTCAGCTGACTACACTCACTAGATTGCAGCGATTGCAACTTTCTAATGCATTATTAAATGAATTTGAATCATAACGCCTGCAACGCCGGCAGCAGGCCATTAATTTGCTTCTTGTAATGATTATAATGATTCATAATGCGCTGCATGTATTTATGCACTTTTCAAATTTGAGACTTTACAACTTTCCATTCCAATCACAAGTAATATGAACAAATTATTCAATTATATTGTGTTGACATCAAAATAAGACATTGTATTATTAATTCTTATAATCTACAAAAACAGAATTTAGTTTTTGGTAAAAATGTAATTAATTTTTACTTTTTTGCTATGATTTGCAATTACCAACTTACATCCCATAAATTTTAACATTTTAATAATTATTCTGCTATTGGAGCTTAGAGGAATCTAACAAATCATAGATCATCGAAATTTGTCGATCCGTTCTTGAGTTATAAAGGTTGTAACTAACAGTAACACGCGGCGATAGATTACTGAAATACTTATCGGATCAAATCATTTGCCCATCTGTTCTTGATCTAATAATAAACACAGATAAAAAATTGCATTGATAAAAATTAAGTCAAGGTCACTTTACGCCAAGATAAACATATATTTTTATTTGCTCAATTTAAATCTATTTATTTTTTATAGTCATAGAAATGTCTAGTGGTGATTATGGCCAAGATAAAATCGAGCGAATGATTGAAGCAATCGACAATGGCCGCAATCTACTGTACACCACCGGCGAAGAAATCAAGCAAAAGCCACCGATGAACACGAAAATCTGCCTCTCGCATTTCTACGAATTTCGAACACTTCTGAAGTGGCAGTGGTTCAAACTACATCGAAACAAAGTAAACCAGGGACATTTTAAACAATTCAATTTATCAATATCTTAAAGTCAGTTCTATTTGCCTAAAGGTTTTATTGGTAATGTGTGATTGTTTTGATTGTTTCAGAATTTAGTGCACTTGAGAATATTTGGCAGTATATCAGTTTGTTTACTGATTGGAGGATTGTATTTCAATGCTGGCAATGATGCCTCGAGAATGTTGCACAACTATTACATGCTTCTGGCTTTTATCATCGGCAATACGCAACCAGCTTTAATGTTAACTATTCTATATTGTAAGTTTAAGGTTATAATTATTTGGAAATTGATGTTAAAATGTACTAAACTTGAAAATAATCCGACATAACCTCAATATTATTCCATTCTTGCGTTATATCTTGTTTTTGTGTAGTAATAATTTTATTTAATGGAAATATAATTGTGTTTTAGTTCCAAGAGAAGCACCAATCTTAAAAAAAGAACTTTTCAATGGCTACTATCGACTTAAAAACTATCTGATAGCAAACACTCTGACCGAATATCCTTTAGCTGTAAGTAACTTGTTGATAACAATGTAAATCCTTTAAATTTTACACATTTTCTTGTTTTAGTTATTTTGTACTTTATTAACATCGGCAATCACCTACTTAATGACCGGCCAACTTTTGGAACTACGCCGTTTCGCCATGTTTTCATTCGGTCAACTTTTCGTCATATTAACATCACAAAGCGTGGGACTTTTAATTGGCTCCGGCATGAAACTAGTGGTAATTAAACAATCAACTCAATATCCACACATACATTTCACATTATTTGTATAAAATTAATTAAATTTCAGAATGGAATATTTGTTGGTTCATTCATCTTAACTCCTCTGATGTTATTGAGCGGATTTGGTTTCATGCTGAAAGACCTCGCAATGGCAGTGCGATACGTGTCGAATTTCGCTTATCTCAAATACTGCCTCAGCATGTTATCAGTGGCGCTCTTCGGTATGGACCGCCCGAAGTGGACGTGCCCGGATAACGAATACTGTTTGTACATGCGTGGTGAGCATTTCATCGCTGAGATCGGCGTGGATTTACAGCACTATTGGCACGACGTGGCGGTTCTATGCGCGAATTATTGCCTGGTCAAAATTGCTACTTACTTTGTCATGCGACAACGCATGAACAAATGAAAATACCAATAGAATTAGACTTAGAAACAAAAGACGAAGAGATTAATTGGCTGGCCAAATTTATTTTATGTGTTAAAACATGTTTTATGACTGTTTAAGTTGTTTTTAAAATTCGTTATTAAACAAATTGTGATTTATTATTTGAAAACAAAAAATGCGTGTTGGACGGAGAGGTTAAACATAAGTATGACTTATTAACAAATTATTATCAATATACAAATAGAATAATTTACTTTAAAAACCTTCAACACTATTCCACTAATCTAAATCTAAAAAACTTAACTCAATCAAATTGATAACCTATATTTCATCGTGAAATACGTCGCGACTCTTACTGCAACCAACCATACAACTAACATGTAAAAACATTTTGCGTAATGGAACGGATCTATTCCCATGTCGATGAGTAATCGATGCGGTTCTTTGTAGAAACAATACTCTTCTTCTTCGGGACACATTAATTTACGCGTTGAGAGGCCAAAGATGGCGACTGCGCATCCTTGTACGCCATTACGTACATAACCAAATGTTCCAAGGCGTTCGTAGAACCAGTGCATGTCTTGGAAGAACATGGCGTATCCACTAATAACCAACATTGGGAGTTGGGAGACTGTACATGCCAATAATGAAGCCTTGAAATGAAATAGAAAAATATTAGTTTATGTGGTGCGTAAATACATAAATTTACATTTAAACGAGACATGAAATTAACTGGTGGAGAAAAAATTAAAATCTACTTGCACGTTTTCAAATTGCTTTGTTTATGTGAAATCATTAAAGGTTAAACGCAAACCATAGTTATAAAATATAATTTGTTTAATCAAAGTAATAAAATGAGTAATTAATAGTTTTTTGTTCAATTATTTCGTACCCGCATGATTTTATGCGCGTCTGCTTGATAAAAATAGGTAATTTATTTTTTTATTTGTAGGTTATGAACATACATAACCTATCTTTGTTCTTCACAAGTTAAATTTTAAAAAATGCGTGTTTTGTGCCATTTTTGCGATTAATTTTAAGAAATAGTAAGAAGTTACTTACACCAATTGATAAATTCAAAGTTCCAAAGAAGAAACCAACTGCATTGACGACACATCCAAATGTTACAATAAAAAGAAGAAAAACCATGATTCTTTCACTTTCTATTGGCTGTCCTGACATGTACCAAGCCAACATGGACGATGATGAAATCGCCACTAACTAAAAATCAAAATTTATCAATAAAATCATCAAAATTATTCTAATTTATCTAATTTTACCGATACTGGTAGGTCCAATATAAATACCGTCATATAATATTGTAATATGCTATAATATCGATTGTAATGTTCCCGTTTTACGAGTTCCATTTCCAGCGGAACTGAAATAATTAGGTTATAATGTGTTTAAGTGCATTTAAAGAAAACTTACAAGATAATATCGGATACATGAAGCCGGTAAGTAGGACATTGGCAGTGACACCCAGGACAAAGTGATAACTGAATATCACTTTTGAGGCATCGTTACCAAAGTTCCAAAATAACAGGCCAAGGAAAAACGCCAGTACATTGGAACCGAATATTCTCATTGGAACTAATATCAGATTTCTTGTTAGTTTAGTGTATTCTCGTTTTAATAATGTTTTCCACTGATAACTCCACGTGGCGTTTTCAGTTTTGAAGCAATTAATGTCGCAGGAATCTTGTCTTGCCACTGAAAAGTAAAATTAAATTGATTTTTTTTGGAAGAAAATTATTAAGTATTAATTTTATACTTTTAGGGTGTTGTTCAATGAAAGTGTTGCCATTTTGAGATGCTTTTATAAGAACAGTGGCTTTGTCATCTCCAAAATCGCCAGAGCATAATTCAATCACTGAAAAAATATGATACAGTTAACAAATAATAAAAAAAGCACACTACGTTTGGGAGATTTAATATATGATAAGTGAGTACAATACTTCTTTGCCAGTTAATAAACTATCATATTATAGATGCAAATGTGAATTTATTTGTGTGTTAGTATGTTTGTGACGCTTTCACTGTGAAACCACTCAACCAATTTCGATAAATTTTGTTATAGAGATAGTTATGACCAAGGAAAATAATAAGAAGCTACTTTTTGTTATTTTATCGGAGTTAGCACATATTATATTGTGATTAAAATATACAAGAACGAAATTACGAGGAAAAGGGTAATGAAATATATTCAGATAAAAGTATGCAACTTAATTCACATAAACTGATAATGTACGCAAGGCAATTGGTGAAAGACGTTAACATTATATTGATTAAATTACTATGTTTTCATGTTTTAATCAATAAATACCTTTAAAAGTAGTAATATTTTCTAGGAATTTATCTTACGTCAATATTATGATAAAAAATACTAAGTTCGGGGAAGTTTTGACATACTTTAGTTAATAATCTACTTTTACTTTCTTATCACGCATATCCGAAACGTATTTGCGTCAATATTTTATTAAATAGGAGAGTTAATATTTACCTACAAAATTCAAACACGTATATTGCAATATTACGTTTGAAACTAAATATTTTCTGATAAATTGTCTTAAACTGTTTTAATAAATTCGCATAACTCTATATATACAATAATTAGTTTTAATTGTTGCACTTGTGTACTCTGAAATGTGCATTGAATAAATCGAGCTTGACCTTGCCCCTAAAGTTAATCGGAATCAATTCAAACGTGCGCTCCGAAAGCAAAAACACGCTGTTGTTCATGCGGACTGTAATCATCTAGTGTGTTTTGCATCATTTAATTAATGTGCTAATAATCAATCCTCATGTAATTATAGGTAATTTTTTAATTGATAAAAATTATTAAATATTAAAATTTTCTTACGATATTCAGCTGGATTGTGATAAATGTTACAGGGCATTCCTTGTTTATCCAAAAACGGAACCAATTCTTGTGGTGGACCTTGATACGCACACTTTCCTTCAGCTATTACGTAGACATGATCAAAGAGGTCAAAATGACTTGCACACACTTGATGAATAGTACATATCACAGTCTTGCCAGTTCCGGCGATTTTCTTCAAGTATGCGAGGATTAGATGTGTTGCGGAAATGTCCAAACCACTGACCAAAAAATAAAATCAATAAAAATCAGTATATAAAAATATTTTTTTATATAAATTTAATAAAGAATTATTTAAAAAATGATAAAATTCGTAGTCTCACAAAAACTGGAGAATGTCTGGTGCGTTTTGGTTTATTTTGGTTTTGAGATACTTTTAGAAATCCAAAGCAAGATTAAAAGTCGAGAGAATATGAGAAAATTGCAAGGAAAACCGTAAAAACTAAAATTTTATGTTCACATAAAAACTGTAATGAATTTTGTGACTAAAATTAGAAAGACACGATCTAAAATCAATTTTTTAACTCTTAGACTATGTTTTGTTATAAAATTATAACTTTGGTGAAAAATATGAAATAGAAGTTGAAATAAAAATTAAATCATAGTTATAGTTACATAGTTCGACTCGAGATGGCGATAAGATGCATTTATTTCAATAAAAATTCGTTTCTAGTAAATATTGAATCATTGTTATGACTGCATATTTCTATTTAAATATTTGAAATGAACATCCGGTTAACTGGATAACTCTCGATACTCAATAAAAATATACAGTTTTTCATTAAAATTAAAATTGAAAATCATATACGCAGATTTAATACATATTTGGTCCAATAAACAAGAGAGTAATAAATTAAACTACTTTAAATTAAAAAATCTATATGGATACAGTCGTGAGGCAAAAATTAATTGTAAATAATGGTAACTCACGTAGTAGGTTCATCCAAATAAATGACTTTTGGATCATTAATCATTTCCAGTGCAAGCGCAAGTCGTTTCCGCTCTCCACCGGATAATTTCCCAGCTCTTGTAGTCCCCGTTGCAGACAACCCAAAAGAATCTAATAATTCTGCAATCTAAAAATTACCACATCTAGATACTAAATATTATATTAGTTTAGTAAATTTGACAATTTTAAAACCTACAATAGCATTTTTTTCAATTTGCGAGTGCGTAACACCAAGTTTAAAGTCCGCAGCAAAACGCATATTTTCCTCGACAGTCAACAAATCATTCAGGTGGATGTCCTGCGTGAGGTAGCAAGAGATGCCCGCCAAGTGCTCAAAGTCCGTGTCGGTGCCATTCACTTGCAACTGCCGAAATGACGCGTTTTGCGGCCGATACCCGCTGAGCGTATTCAAGAGCGTCGTCTTACCGGCACCGGAAGTGCCCATGATTGCTATCAACGACCCTCCATTGAATTTACCGATGAGATTTCGCAAGATTTGTTTTCCTAGTTGAACCACATTAAAAATTACTGATAATGATTTATTAATAGACGACTAGACTTGTTTTTATATAAACCCACAGCATAAACAAATCACCTTTTTAATTTTTATTTGAAATTTTATTACCTTTGGGTGTTTCGGTGCAAAGCCCACTAAAGAACAACTCAAAAGTGTCTTCTTTATTAAACTTCATTTTGATGAATTTGTTTTCATAAATTTCACAGAATTTTAATCACAAATCACAGTTTTAATAATTATAAATTACTAGGAACTGAATTTATTATGATAAACATGTAAATGTATACGTTTGCACTTTATATTCAACTTAAACACAACTTTCACTTTCCATTGAAAACTGTCTTGAAGAGTCTTAGGTTGGAAGTGTCTGAGTTTGAAGTTTGCAGTACGTAAAAGTACAAAAATAGTTTTGCTCGGTTGTTCGCTGCACGCTCATCCGATCTCGTGCGCGATCAACAGCCGACTGAGCATTACTCAACCGCAAAGCACGCCATTGTAGATAATGGACACATTTTGGCATACGGAGTTGAACGATGACAAACATACCTCAATTACGTTTAATGTAATAATATTACCGAACCGAACCGATATAAGCTGATTAATAGTTTTTACAACAATAAAAAACATTTAAAAGTCTGTTCAAAGATCAAAACTATGCATTATATTATATAATTATAAATATTATAAATAAAAATAGTCATTAAAGAGAGTTTAATTATATTTTAATAATATTTCTTGTTTTACTTTAATGAAATCGTATTTTTGATTATTTTTTTCTGATTAATGAACGTTTGTACTTTGACAAGATAAGCATTAATCAATTAAACGTAATAAATATCAAATGGCTCTGATTAAATGTTGATTATTCGTGAGTAACGTGAAGTAATCATTCCACACGTGGTAAGCCATTGCATTGCAATCGAGTGTAACTCTAAGGTCAGTCAGTGTGTCGCGCGCAATTTATACTGCGCGCGCAACTGCGGATTAGCACAACACAAAGAAAGAGGTGTGGGTAATGTCAATATGTGAATGTAGCGCGGTCATTGTGTCTATGAAGCCCAACAAATGTTCTGAAACAATAGTTGTTGTGACGGGTGTGAGTCACTCACCTCAACTAACTAGATTTAGTTTTTATTTAGTTATTATGACTGTTGAGCTGCTTCAGACACGCGATAAAAAAACACAGACGTAAGTAAAACTGTGCTGAGCAGCTGAGTAGAGATGATGCAGTGGTATTACCTGTGTAGTTTTTGCTTCTGCTCTGCGCATGACTTTTATACTTATTCTTTTGTTGTATTTGTACATCTTTTTTGTATGCATTTCACTGGTTAGAGAAGTATTTCTACGTCATTGTGTAAATTATACCTGTGGAAGGCACAAAAGATGACCCTTTTTCATTTTGCTACCATTTGGTTTGTGAATGACGTCAGAAACACATTTTTTGTTATAAAATTTTTTTTTTTCTTCCATTTTTGTTTTGTTTTTGATAATCACTTACTCATACAATAAAATATAATATTTTCATCTAATGTATATAAAAATATCACAATATTATTCACTTAAATCCTAATCTTAACTTTTAGTTAATTGTTTATAATGATAATCTATATTTCATACTAAAGTACGTAACAATACGGACGGTAATAAGCCACGCAATCAACACGTTCAAACACAATGCATAGTCATTCGGATCAATACCGAATTCAACAAGAAGACGATGCGGTTCTTTATAAAAACAATAGTCTTCCTCTTCTGGGCATGGTAGTTTACGTGGTGCGAGGCCGAAAACAGCGATGAGACAACCTTGTAGGCCTGTGCGAGCATAACCGGCAAGAGAGATCTTTTCTAGCATCCATGGCAAGTCTTGGAACATTATTGCATAGCCACTGACTGCTAACATTGGGACTTGAGTTAGGCAACACAACGCGATCGCAGACTAAAAGAAATATAACCTCAATGTTATTATTTTAAGTGTATTTTGATGTTGTTATATTTGTTACTCACATTAAATGATATGACAAGAGTGCCGAAGAAGAAGCCAATTGCATTGACGACATTTCCCAACATAGCGATGAATATCACATAAAGTATTGTTCGATCTGTTTCGGTTGATTGTCCGGAAAAGTAGTAGGAGATCAAACCGGATGATACAAACGTAATTAACTAAAGAAAAAGAAAAAGAAATTACTTTATAATTGATTAAACTTTTACTTATAAATAATTTCTAATTGATGTGTTTCTAGTTAATAGCACAGCACGTTATAAAATGGAAATATATAATTAAATATTAAATACTTACAGAAACAGGTAAATCTAATAATACAACGGTTAAATAATATTGCAATACGGTATAATACCGATTGTGAAGTTCTCTTTTAATGAGATCCATTTCCATTGGAACTTAAAATTAAAATACAAAATGAGTTTTATTGATTAATATTAACAAAATAAGTTAATACTTACATGATAAAATAGGACATAATAAACCACCCAGTATAATATTGCTGGTGATTGCAATCACCCAGTTGTGGTTAAATAACACTTTTGAAGCGTCTGCACCGACATTCCAGAAAATAACTCCGATTGCAAAGCTCAGGAAGTTGCTTCCAAGAAAACGTAAATAAGTCAACAACTAAAATATTATAATATAGAATTAAAATTAAATTTAAACAAAACTTTATTATACGTACTAAATTCCGTGACATTTTGACGTATTCTCGTCTCATGAGTACTTGAAACTTGTAGCTCCATGTTGCATTGTCATTCACCAAGTGCTTGATTCCATTTTTTCGTTTGGTGGTTGGAATTTCATCTAAAAAACAAACAAAATGTAGGGTTTATATGAGGTCATGGTTATGTTCCCCAAAATGAAAATAAAAACAAAGAATATGTGAAGCAGTCATGCAGTAAATCAGCAACAAAATATTTACAGAAGCAATTAACACACAGAAAGTACCAAAATAATCATTGTATGTATTGTGTTAATGGTTTATGGCATTGATATTGACAAAGAAACACATTTCAATGTCAATGATAAAGAACAGGTGTGGATATAAACATTTTAAAAATTAAAAAAAGCAAAACATTAATTGATACACTTAAGTAAAAGTTTACCAAAATTTAATACAAAACATTTTTTTTACCTTCAGAATGTGAGCGAATGTATGCAGCGCCATTATGTGCCGCTTTTACAAGATGGCCGACCTTGTCTTTACCGAAATCCCCACAACAAAGCTCAATCACTAAAAAAAAAAATTAACTGTGTCACATTTTATTCTCACATTTTTGTGATAAAGTAAATATAACTAAATGAAATATAATTTACTGTCAACTGAATGAAGCTACAAGTCCACGTGCAGATAAAAACATAAAATATTATGCCGTGACCTTTTAAACTTTGGTTGTGTCACTTTTATCCTCTTATCGGCACTGTATTTATACGCCTAGGAAATAACTTTTATCTTGTGATGTGCGACATTATTTTGTTCCCGGTTCATAATCACAGAACATTTATATCAATTAAACATAACAACATAAAACGCTATAAAATGTTATAAACCTTACGATAATCCGCTGGATTGTGATAAATGTTACACGGCAAGCCATGCTCGTCCAAAAACGGGACCAAATCCTGCGGGCGTCCTTGATACGCACACTGACCATCAGCGATGACATATGCCAGGTCGAAGAGCTCAAAATGACTGGCGCATACCTGATGGATGGTGCATATCACAGTCCTGCCAGTGCTGGCGATTTTCTTCAAGTATGCAAGGATTTGATGTGTTGTGGAAATGTCCAAACCACTAAACAATAATTAAATTAATAAATTAATAAAAAAATACAAATTTTATTGTAAAAAATGAAAACTTACGTTGTTGGTTCATCTAGATAAATGATTTTTGGATCACTTATCATTTCTAGGGCAAGGGCGAGTCGTTTTCGTTCTCCACCGGAGAGTTTTCCGGCTTTTGTGGTGCGTGTTGTTGATAAACCAAAAGAATCTAGTAATTCTGTAATCTACAAGAAAACCACATCGAAATAAATATTAGTTTTGTTAATTTTTAATTTTAACACTTACAATAGCGTTTTTCTCGTTTTGTGAGTGCGTCACGCCAAGTTTAAAGTCCGCAGCAAACCGCATATTTTCCTCGACTGTCAACAAATCATTCAGGTGGATGTCCTGCGTGAGGTAGCAAGAAATGCTTGCCAAGTGCTCAAAATCTGTATTTTCGCCATTCATTTTCAGTGATTCACATGTTGCGTTTTGATAACGATATCCACTTAACACATTCAAAAATGTTGTTTTCCCGGAACCGGAAGGTCCTAATATTGCAATCAAGGACCCACCTTTAAACCCACCACTAACATTATCTAAAATTTGCTTTCCTAAAACGCAAACATCAGTTTTTTCAAACAAAGTAATCAAAATAATAATTAAAAATTAAACCACACTTACCTTTGTCTGTAGCACTTGACAGCTTTTCAAAATACAAGTCACAAGTACCATTTTTCTCTTGTTCCATTTTAAAACTTGTCAAAAATTCACATAGCCATAAAACTTGAAAAAAATCACTTTTACTTTTAACTTTTGAAAGTTGAACGTTTGCGTTGTTTGTTAAATTCACTGTTGCGTCGATCGCAGCGCGCTGATTACCATCACTGCATTAATAACTTGCTCCTCAACAACTCAACAACAAAAACAAAAGCCCAGCTGCAGTCGGAGTCGTTGTGTGCGCTTGCCGATCGGGTGGATGTGGAACGTTGCCCAACATCGCGATCGAAACGTGCTTGCTCGCGTAAACAGATACAAAACGAGATTTTACCCAACGCTGAGAGCGCATGCACGCATACCACACATGCAAATAATTGTAACTACTCAGCAACTCGACTCAGAGACCGAAACAAAGCCACTGTTTTCAAATTGAAATTGAAACACTTGTGAGAGTGTAGAAGTGTATATCATAACATGATAACGCCATCGTGGCTTAATATTTAAACAAATTATTGTATGAGTACATCCTGTCAATATGTGACGAATATGTTTTTATCAACTTATTTAGGCATTGAGAGACGATTGATTTACGTTCACATTCATATTACTCATTTATTCGATTTTATTGCGTCAATGTGATAAACGTGGTTTTATCATTTTTAGTTAGACAAAGGCAATCTAGAGGCGGCAGTCTACAATGAATGTGTGTATTTTTAACGTTGGTTAATATTTATTTAACAGTCGTTATTTCTAATTGAAGTTGCAGACGCATTTAAACAATTTTATTCATTCGCAATAAATGGAATATTTCAGGTCATTAAATTTTAAATTTTAAAATGTGTGTATAACTATAGATAAAGTATTAAATATTAATAAATACATTTCACCATAATATATGCAATAATGAGCAATTATTACATTGACATTAATAACTAAAGTGGGGTTATTGTATGCAACCCAGAATACATGAAACGCAAAAGTATATTTTACTAGTGTTTGCGCGCGACTTTGAATGCATAGATTTTAATAAAAAGTAATGTAGTTAATTACTTTCCTGATTTTTTGTTTCATTGTTTATCGAAACTGTTAATAAAACTTTTCATTTTAACATTTAAGAAATGAAAAACTGTATTAATGTACTGCAGTGCCATCTCGGTTGAAGATATATAACTATAACGATAATTAAATTACACACTGACTTTCATCCCTTACTTTACACCCTTAAAATTATATTTTTGTAACAAAAAGTAGCCTATATGCTTTTCCTAGATCATAAATGTTTCTATTCAAAAATTTATAAAAATTGATTCAATACTTTTTACATGAAAGCGTTACAAATATACAAATAAAATGGAAAACCATGAATAACATATACGAGCAAAAATACACGTGTCACCCATATCTGGCTAAAAATAATTTTCCTATAGATAAATGCACATATGACGGTGCATCATTCAAATTTAAATAAATAATTATATAATTACTAATCAACCGAAAACAATTATCCTATATTTCATTGCAGTGGTTGACACTGCGTTTGGTGAACTTATGTAATTTAGTACCCCATTAAATATTACAGAAATTCGAAAAATAAGTTGATAATTATACCCATTAAAACGACTTGCTAAAGGAAAACAACTTTCCATGCACGAGAATAATTTATTTTATTATTTAGTGACCAGTACTAATTTAAAATAAAAATGAAAAGTGTTCATAAGTGCGCAGAAGTGAGTAATGCGCGATGCAACAACATTCAACACAGAACACATGATGAAACTGTGCAGAAAAGCAGAAAGGTTAACGAACCCATCACATTCACTTCACTTTGTTCGATACTGATTCAAGAAAACAAGGAAAGAAAAACACTAGAAGTGAAATTGCAATGGAATAAATTTCAGCAATTTTCTAAAAAAAAAATAAAAAAAAACGATGTTTTATGAAATTGTGAAATGTTTAATTATTGGATAGTTCTATTATTATAACTATTATCAGTATATTACATGTTTATTCTTTTTAGCCTTTCAATTCAAGGCTAATATCATGTTACAAAACAATCACAAAGTCACATTGACAAGTCGGCATTATTTTGTAAAAATTAAAGTTTACAATATCGCAGTTAATTCTTCTAACATATAAGAAATAAGAGACATTTTAAATTTTAGCTGAGTAATTAAATAGACTAACGTGTAGTTTAGTTTATAATTTGTTTAATTACAAGCATAGTTTATACAAGAAAACTTGATTTAGCTGAATACCTTGAAGAATTAAAAATTTAGAAGGAACAAGAAAAGAGTGCTTGCATATTTAATTTAAGTTTAAAAATTTAAACCGTAAACCGGATTTACTCCTTGGTATGGTGATATTCACGTTGAACATTAAAATTTGAATCTTTTTAATGCAAAAATATTTGTTGTACTTACTTTATTCCATGCTAAAACATATGTCAATATTTAAATAATTTTGCTTTGTGTTCGGAAATTTTGACATAAATAATATCAAATGCACACAGAAAAATTATAGATTTAATCATTATAATAACTGCAATTTTTAAAAAGAACAATATTTTACGCTCTAGTTACATAAAGTATAGCTTCACACGCCTAAAAATACTCAAATAATAATAAAAGCATTCTCTTACATACGAAAGTGTGGTATAGCAATTGTCTCTGATTAATTAACATTCAATCGGCTACTTGTAAATACACGACAAATACATTATAATTATGCGTAGGCGAATAGATTAACCACACATCAAAGTCCGGATTACACCGATTACACTACAATCATCTAGACGCAAATAAACATACCGTAAATGATAATAACGACTTTGGTGAATAACAAGAATTAAAATTAATCAAATCTTATTACTATCTGATTGTTATTTATTTTTTTACAAAAACACATAAAACACAAGTTCAAAAGGGCACCGATTCGTCACAATCTAATTTAGGTCATGGTTACAATAACAATTATTTAGATTATATGCATATTTCACACTTTTCTATTTCAAATTTTATGCGCGATTTTTTTAAAACTTATAAAAATGTCAACGTTAACTTACAATTTCCGAGAAAAGAAACGAATGAAGCAATCACTATTCAATCACATTTATTTAGTCTTATCAATTTTCAGTGATAAGATAAGTAATCAATTGAATGAAGAAATTTGAACAGATTGCATTTAGTTAGGTAGCTGCATCACGCGATATAAATATTATATCATTGATATTTTCACATGCATCTGTATTGCAGGAGCTGATTGCGTTATGTATTTATTATCTTGAAACAATTTGGTTGGTAGCGTTGGCAGTTGGTGGGTTGTTCGACTACAAAGCCGAGTTTTAAACAAGTTGCCGTGTTGGGAGTTTTATTTCAGTCGCGAGCGTTCGCTTCCTGTGCTCGGAACGCAAAAATTTTGTTTTTAATTAGTGAAGTTAACGCTATGTAAATTTATTTAATTAAATCAACATGACATAAAATTGATTTTAAAAAATATTGAAATGTAATATTGATTGTTTAGTGAGTGTAGTTATATTTTGATTACTATTATAATTATTATTATAGTGAAATTTTGTAATCTTTTGTGAAAGTGAAGATATTGGTGTGAAATTCTTACAGTGAATCATTATGGCGACAAAAGTAAACGCTGAGAACGCTAGCGAATTGTATTTTAGCAATTTGCAATGCACAACTAAAAATAAAGGTAAATGCATATTGTCAAACACAAATTTATGGTGATAAATTATAATTCCAACAAGAATAGTGTCATATTATGTTATTACCGTGAATTAATCGTGATTGTTTTGTGAATATTTACATTTTCTATATTTAAACTGTTTGTTTTTTATAATATTTAATTTTATTCATCTTTTGAAGCTGAACTTTGATTTATTTGCTGTTGTACACAGTTTTTCAACAATAATTTCATTATTTAATTATTTCTAAAGATAACATTTGTGTTTTTATTTCAGAAAAATTAATTTTAAAAGATTTAAGTGGTCAATTTCCTCCTGGATCATTAATTGGATTGATGGGACCTTCTGGGGCGGGAAAAACGACTCTTTTGAATATTCTAAGCGCATATTGTCCCCAAAATGCTACATTTGACTGCTTACAACTTAATGGAGTTAACACTGATTTTGAGCACTTGCAAAGTATCTCCTGTTACATCACACAAGACATCCACCTTAATGATCTGCTTAATGTCGAAGAAAATATGCGTTTCGCTGCGGATTTCAAACTTGGCGAAACACACTCACAAATTGAGAAAAATTCAATTGTAAGTTTACAAACTCTATATTTTTTAAAATTTTCTTTGATTTAGATTTGAATTTTTCTTATAGATTACAGAATTACTTGATTCTTTTGGTTTATCATCGTCGCGTTCAACAAGAGCCGGCAAACTTTCCGGTGGAGAACGAAAACGACTCGCACTTGCACTTGAAATGATCAGTGATCCAAGGATAATTTATCTAGATGAACCCACAACGTGTGTGACCATTATTTGAATAAAATTTAGTAATTTTTACTAATTTAATGATTATTTAGGGGTTTGGACATTTCCACAACACATCAAATCCTCACATACTTGAAGAAAATCGCCGGAACGGGCAAGACTGTGATATGTACAATACATCAAGTATGTGCCAGTCATTTTGATCTGTTTGACCTTGTATACGTTATCGCTGATGGTCAGTGCGCATATCAAGGACGGCCGCAAGATTTGGTTCCGTTTTTGGACGAGCACGGCTTGCCATGTAACATTTATCACAATCCAGCGGATTATCGTAAGGTTCAAGGATATAATTAAATTGCCTTTCTTTTATTAGCATCATTTTTTGTAAACTATATTGTAATATCGATTGGTGATGTTGTTTTTTAGTGATTGAATTATGCTGTGGGGATTTTGGGCCAGAGAAAGCGAGTCAATTGGTAAAAGCGTCTCAAAATGGCGTCACCTACATTCAGAGGAATCACAGACGTAAGAAATAGCATTTATAATCTCTATAATTGCAAATTATCTTCTCATACACTCATAAAATTATATATTTGAGTATTATTTAGACATTAATTTTTTTTTCTTAAATTGAAGTCGAAACATTCAACATTAAACATATGCAACTTAATATACATAACAAAATAAATCAAAAATTAATACAATTTAATTAATAATATTATTTGCACTCTGTATATTTCTATTTACATAAATATTTTCATTTTCTTTTAAGAATTGGTTTCGAGTAGTATCAACTTAAAACAGAATGCAAACGCAACATGGAGTTATCAGTTCCGCACATTGATGGGCCGTGAATATGTAAAAATGCAAAGGAATTGGGTAATTTATTCACAATCACGATACATAAACATTTTGAATATCTAATGCTTATGTTGAGTGTTTAATTTTAGCTTTTGACGTATTTGCGCTTTCTGGGTAGTAATTTCTTAGGACTCGCAATCGGATTGATATTCTATGACGTCGGCTCGGATGCAAGCAAAGTATTTTTTAATTACAATCTAGCATTGGCAACATGTTCCAATCTTGTGTTAAGCGGACTTTTATATCCTATTTTATCATGTAAGTATAAAACAAAAAAAATCAAACTTAGCATATTTATTACTCTTTTATACGTTGCTACATTAAATATTACTTTATGTCTTTTATAGTTCCTCTGCAGATGGATGTAGTAAAGCGAGAAATCCACAACCGATATTATTCTATAATTCAATATTATATATCAGTATCTATTTTGGATTTACCAATTTCGGTATGAATTAAAAATTTTTAATGTAAAAATTCTATATTTTTACGTGATATTAATTTTAGATTCTTACAATTGCATCCTCCAGTATGTTAATATACTATCTGAGTGGTCAAGTATTTGAAAAGGATCGTGTGATGATATTTATCCTGTTTAGTATTGTATTGGGTGTAACTGTCAATGCAATTGGATTCTTTTATGGAACGTTACTAGATTTAAATGTAAGAATTAAGATTATCTACTTAACTACCGATTTCGGAACACAAAATCATGTTAACATCAAGTTTATTCAAGTATACATATACAAGCAAACATAAAAAGATAAATCATGTTAAACAACATGAAGTGAGATGGCGCTGCAATGCACATATTTGTACAAAATTTCTTTCGCGTGATAAAACTCCACGTTTTATTTATTTTTATTTTAGTGTTTACTATATTACAAAAAAGCAGTAATATGAGTCAATAATATTTTTATTCAAATTTAAGTAGACAAAAGCACACACAAAATCTATTATTAATTTGAATTAATTAATTTGAATTTTATTTTGATTTATATTTTAGAATGCAATATTTTTTGGTTCCTGCACTCAACTACCACTAATGTCTCTCAGTGGTTTCGCCATCATGCCACAAGATCTCCCATACTACCTCGGCAAGTTCTCTCACTTAATATATGCCCGTCGAGGCGTACAAGGATACCTGGTTGCTATTTTTGGCTTAGAGTCACGTAAACTTCATTGTCCAGAAGAGGTGGAGTATTGTGCTTATAGCGAAACGCATCGATTCATGAAAGAACTAGAGGTGGATCCTTACGAGTATGTATCGGCGTTGTATGTTCTTGTGGGATGGTATGTTGCCGTCAGGGTGATAACATATTATACTATGAGATATCGCCTTTCTTTACTGGCGTAAACATACGAATACCTAATACCAGTTTAATTTATTGTGTTAAGTTTTGTGTTGAATTTTGTTTTAAATTATTTTGTTTTGAATATGAAATTGTGATATAATATATTATGAGGATGTTTGTATTGTATGGAAATAATAGATGTATTCATGCATCAAATCCATGAATTTGAATCATATATTTTAAATCTTTTAATACAATTCGTCTGCGCATCGTGTGCGCATGTTTTTGAATTGGCAGCGTCAATAGAAGAGCAACGCAGTAGTGCGACCTTGCACTCTAGCGCAGCGAGCGTTCAACGGTCATTTAGTCTTTCAGTTTTGCAGCGATCAGTGCAACGCGCATCTCTGCACCAAAAATTGCTGAAAATTAAACTGATTCATAGCAAACTAGTGTAATCAAGTGCAACTCTATACCAATTGCAGGAATATGTAAGACCTTTCATAATTTATATTTCAAAAGTCTTAAATTGGTGGTTCGTAATAGAAAAATACATACTTCGAAACTAAACATGGCATTTAATAAGTTTTTGTATGTTACGGCCACGAATAAATGTTTTGATGGTGTGAACACACTGCATTCCTGCGTGAGATTCGGCGTCTTATCAGTAATCCGGTCTCTTTTTATTATAGGCTGTCTTTCAATCGGTGCGAATGTTGAAAACGTTTTAACGTTTTAACGTTTGTAGTGCGCTGCAAGAGATGCGCATTACGCATCGCGCACTGACGCGTCTCTCAGTCGGGTACCACTTCGAGTGTCGCGCACAGCTCAACGTTAAAATCACTGAAAATAAAAGTAATCTTCAGAATATTATAGTGATCAAGTGCACCTCAGTACTAATTGCAGTAACAGGTATAGTTCCACATAATTAATACTTTCGGACTTATAAACTTATTTTTAATTAATTTTAATAAAAATTAAAATATTTTGCATGTATTATTTAAATACAATGTATTCGTACGTAATTCGGCTACACTGACCTCTGTTACATTGGCAAGGTGAGCGCGATCGGCGCGTGTTATCAGTTGTTTGTTTACTTTTCACATTCTTCTTCTTTACTTCGTTGCAATATAATACAATAAGTAAAATAACTAAGCGCGATGTATTTGATAAATGTAAATACGAGTATTTTAAGATTCTTATACGTAGTGACACACTAAGTAAAACTTTGCAATATTTAAATATTTTGACCACTTTAACTTAACTCGTATATTAATACTGTGTATTTGTAGATTATTAAAAAAGGTATTTCGATGAATATTTCGATTGCGGACATCTCGCAAACTAAAATAGATAGGAATCAGCGGATTGAAGATTCTTAACGTACAGGAAATTCTCTAATACACGTAAGGTATTTTTTTGGTATATCCCTACTTTATTGCAATTCAAATAATAATTTAAAATAAAGTGAAGTGAAGTGCGCGTTAAAACGGGGAGAAGGTAATGCTAACGCAAATTAATTATTTTATTATTTTCAGAAATCAAAAATGTTTTTGATATGTATTGATTGTTCTTTCTGCTTCTCTTTCAGGTTTATATTCGATTTTGTTTGGAAATGTTTGTAATTCGGGCGCGTTCGTTTACCGGTTATGTATTATTTAATATTTCTTTTCAGGACCTTTTTCTCTCTGGACCATTATTCTCCTCATACCTTTAATATCAAATACTCATTATTCTGTTGAAATTACTTTTACTACATTAGTTTGTACTGGATTCCTATATTCAAAGATAAATTTTAGTTTCATTTTCAAATATTATCTCAACAAAAAAAAGTTCAATTCAAAGTAATAGATCTCCTAATCCTGACCCACTCATTTCTCTCTAATATTTATTTACTTTTCAGGTACAGCAGATTTAACGCTAATATCGGTGGACCTGGAGAGGTGTAACGAAATACTCATCGAGTGCGGGTCGCGTCGCGGTTCACTTAAACTCTTATCAATTCGCGGCCAAGTTCCCTGACTTCAACCCAAGGTGAATCGAAGGACAATAGTGCACTTTATTCAAGTTTTAGTTTTTTTTTTCGTATTTCCTACAAAACGAGTGCGTGCCGCGTATAGTAATAAAATACGTATCAGTATCGTGTAATAATAGTCCGACTTTGGCTCTTGAAGTGTTCGTTAAAGACTATAGACCATCAAAGACACTCCAATTCCATTCCAAGTGGGCATATGACGGTGAGTCCACTACAAGCAACCTACCAGCGGTTGGACCCAAGTTTGGATAAAATTATCGACGCTTCCTCCTGAGAAACTAGTCGTAGGATCCCAGTTTCTAGGAGCCGGATGTAAGGTAGGTGTGGTGATGACCTGGACCGGAGGGTAGTCACGAGTGCCTCTGACTGGCGGATGCGCAAAGCTTTTTGCTGCGTATGTGACAGCCGAAGGGGAGACACACTTGGGACTAGGTCCTTGGTCCAGGGATAGTCCACCCAGCATTGCTAGAAACGCCGGATGTCTTTAAGTAGTGAGTACACTTACATTTAGGGAATCTAGGTTTGGGTAGCCATTATTAGGTACCAAAGGGCCAATTATGAGGGAGGCTGTTTTCTTGGGAGAGGACCTGATTCTACGCTTCAATTTTTTTGCAATACTTTTTTAGGTAGGACCATTTTTTAGTGCCTGGCATTGTGATAAGGAGAGAGAGGCACTTCGATTTTCGTCTTGTGCAGATTTGATTTTTTCAGGTGCTTATTTTTAATGTATTCTTGATATCTTAGCAATCAAAAATATTGAAATATTTGTTAAACATGTTTTCTTTTTGGTTTATATTAAGACTGCGATTTGTTCCTTTCTCTCTCTTTTAGTTTACGAGATATACGCGATTGAATAAAATGGGCAAAAAATGAAAAATGTCACTTTTTAGTACTTTTAGTCGCGTTTTTCGACCCGTTACTGTAAGAAATATAGTTATTTTATATCTTTATCAGATAGAGAATTTTCCAATCTTTCATAATCAGCGATTGGTGGGTTGCTATCGCGTTTAGTTTAAGAGATATTGATTTTTGAAAATCGTCGAAAAAAAGTATCAAGCACCCCCCCTTGGCAATTTTTTTCTTAAGAATGAAAATTTCATCTCTCAGATTTTCGTTTTAACTATCCTATCTGATAGAGAATAGTCCGTAGATTAAAACGCCGCGATCAGATCTTAATTATCTCTTTTAGTTTACGAGATATTCGCGATTGAAGAAAATGAGCAAAAATTGAAAAATGTCACTTTTTAGCACTTTTAGTCGCGTTTTTCGACCTTTTACTGTAGGAAATATAATTATTTTATATTTTTATCTGATAGATAATTTTCCAATCTTTCATAATCAGCAATTCGTTGGTTGCTATCGCTTTTAGTTTAAGAGATATTATTTATCAAAAATCGTCGAAAAAAAGTATCAAGCACCCCCCCTTGGCAATTTTTTTCTTAAGAATGAAAATTTCATCTCTCTGATTTTCGTTTTAACTATCCTATCTAATAGAGAATAGTCCGTAGATTAAAACGCCGCGATCAGATCTTAATTATCTCTTTTAGTTTACGAGATATTCGCGATTGAAGAAAATGAGCAAAAATTGAAAAATGTCACTTTTTAGCACTTTTAGTCGCGTTTTTCGACCCGTTACTGTAAGAAATATAGTTATTGTATATTTTTATCAGATAGAGAATTTTCCAATCTTTCATAATCAACAATTCGTTGGTAGCTATCCCTTTTAGTTTAAGAGATATTAATTTTTGAAAATCGTCGAAAAAAAGTATCAAGCACCCCCCCTTGGCAATTTTTTTCTTAAGAATGAAAATTTCATCTCTCAGATTTTCGTTTTAACTATCCTATCTGATAAAAAATAGTCCGTAGATTAAAACGCCGCGATCAGATCTTAATTATCTCTTTTAGTTTACGAGATATTCGCGATTGCATAATTAGTAATATCTAATATTTCAATTCTTCGAATACGCGCGAACTCGTTTGCTGATGAACTCCGATGAACTGCTACTTTCAAAAGGTAGTCGCAACCGAATGGGAGTGTAGATCACGATATAACTCTAATGGCAAACCGCACAAGTGAGAAGAACTGATTTTATTATACTAACACTCGACAGAGACGACATAAAATAAAATTTTCTGTACCCCCCACATATACTCGTTCATATATTCGGATACGAAACAGTTTGTACATCAGGAACACTCTGTATCAATATTGGCACAGATGACTTTTTGAAGTAAACACATACGTTTTTATCTCATAGTTTACGTTTGATTTATTACTTGACTCGACATTGAAAAGTGCAAGATATCAATTCATAAATATTGACGTACTTATTGACTATTGGTCAATCGGTTCAGAAATATCAAGTTCTACACAACATGCAGTTAAAACACATAACTCATAACTCATAGTATTCGGTTTTATTGAAACTCGTATTAGTGGTTAGTGGACGGTGTATTAAATTTAGTTACCAGTGAAAGTGAATAATGGCAGCATTAGTGCAACAAGAAAATACTTGCGAGTTGCATTTTAGCAATTTGCATTTTAAAATTAAAAGTAAACCAAAAATAAAAGTCTTAACAGTTTTTGTTTATAATATAATTTGTTAAATTATTTTAGAAAAAGAAATTTTAAAAGATATAAGTGGGCAATTTCCACCTGCGTCTTTGATAGCTGTGATTGGTCCTTCCGGTGGAGGAAAAACAACTCTTTTGAATATTCTCAGCGCTTATAGTCCACAAAATGCCTCATGTGATTACCTACAAGTTAATGGAGTTAACACAAACTTTGAACATTTACGTAACATCTCTTGCTACATCACGCAAGATATCCATCTTAATGATTTACTTACTGTCGAGGAGAATATGTGTTTTGCTGCGGACTTTAAACTTGGTGTTACGCATTCGCAAATTGAAAAAAACGCAATTGTAAGTTTGTAAATTTAAAATTTACTAAACCACTATTTATTTTGATGTGGATCTATTGTAGATTACAGAATTATTAGATTCTTTTGGTTTATCAACAATGCGTACCACAAGAGCTGGAAAATTATCCAGTGGAGAGCGAAAACGACTCGCACTTGCACAAGAAATGATCAGTGATCCAAAAATAATTTATCTAGATGAACCTACCACGTGAGTTACCAATACATAATTAATAGCAAAAAATACTGATGAAAACTTATTAATTTTTGTTTCTAAAGTGGTTTGGATATTTCATCAACATATCAAACGTTGGCGTTTTTAAAGAAAATCGCTGCGCGTGGAAAAACTGTGATATGTACAATTCATCAAGTGTGTGCAAGTCATTTCAACATGTTTGACTTTGCGTACGTCATTGCTGATGGACAATGTGCGTATCAAGGACGGCCACAAGATTTAGTTATGTTTTTACACAACCAAGGCATGCCATGTAACATTCATCATAATCCAGCTGATTATTGTAAATTAAACTTTAACTATATTCCATAATACGTTAAATTTAGGAAAAGGATATTTTTTAGTAATGGAATTGTGTTGTGGAGATTTTGGAAAGGATAAATTGAGCCAATTAGTAAAAGCGTCTCAAAATGGCGTTTCATACATTCAAAATAATTCCACACGTAAGTTAATAAAGTAACTAGTTGACTTAAAAGTAATAAGTAAACAAGTATTTCATGATATTTATTTTATATAAATTGTTGTGCAAATAACTACCGTTTAGCGTCATCAGATAAATATAATTCTTTTTATACATTTTTGAAGATTCAATATCGAAAGAAATCAGCACTATAAAACAAAATGCAAATGCCACATGGAATTATCAGTTTCACACAATAATGGGTAGAGAATTTGTTAAAATGCAAAGAAATTTGGTAACTAAAACTTATAACATTTATTTATATCTATATATGCATTTATCTTAATTTATACTTATAGTTTTTAACATATTTGCGATTTGTTGGATGCAATTTTCTTGGCCTTGTAACTGGTCTGATATTTTACGATTTTGGTTTGGATGCAACCAAAGTATTTTTTTTAATTACAACGTGGTCATATCAATAGTTGCAAATTCAATTTTAACAGGCGTTTTATATCCTATATTATCATGTAAGTTACCGATTATTACCAATTATTACCTATTATTAATTTAAAATTTGATTCAAAAATTATTTTTTTTAGTTCCTATGGAAATGGAACTTGTTAAACGTGAAGTACACAATAGATACTATACCGTAGGGCAATATTACATGTCGGTTTTCATTTTGGATTTACCAATATCTGTAAAGTAATCAATTCAGTGTAAATGTAACAAGGAATTGTTATGAATATTTTTAGACGCTGACTGTGATTACATCTAATATGTTAATCTATTATTTAACTGGTCAACCACTCGAACAGGAACGTGTGATACTATTTATTATTGTTAGTGTAGTAATGGGTGCAACTACGAATGCAATCGGATTTTGTTTTGGGACTTTACTGAATTTTAATGTAAGAAATCATACAGGGTTTTTCTTATACACAAACAGATTGCCTTGTATATACTTAAAAATTGTAGGTGAAATCTTTGATTATTAACTGATTTAATATTTTTTTAGAACGCAATATTCCTTGCTTCTTGTACTCAAGTGCCTCTATTAGCGATTAGTGGATTCGCCATTATGCCACAGGATATTCCGTACTTGGTGGATAAATTCTCGCAATTAATGTACGTTCGAACTGGCGCCAATGGCTTTCTGGTTGCCGTTTTTGGTTTGCAGCCTCGAAAACTTAATTGTCCCGCAGAAGCGGAGTATTGCTTTTATAGTAACACGCATCGTTTCATGAAAGAACTACAGATTGATCCTAATGATTATACTTCAGCGTTGTATGTTCTTGCTGTTTGGTGTATATCGGTCAGGGTGATAACGTACTACACAATGAGATACAGGCTATCATTACCAATTTATATACCCTGTATATCTACGAAATAGAAGAAGATTTTATAGTTTTTCGTCCAAAAACATTAAAAGAATGAATGATTCAAAGATATTCATTACATAAGTGTGAATTGTATTGTTATTGTACAATACTATTGTTAGCATCTGAAAGAGGTTAAATTCAGATGAAAACCTAACCCTGAAAACGTTATAGTTTAAATCTTATTACTGTTAAATTTTCATATTTTTATTAAAACATCTCACAATTACGTTATTTGTTTATAATAAAACAAGTTATAAATCCTGTATGTGATACAAAACTGGAAATTATTTAAATCCTTTTTTTTGGTTATGTAACTATCTAATAACCTCAAATCTTTTTATTTACTATCTTTAGAAAATTGCACCACCACCACTATATATCCTGTCATCATATTAAAAATAGTGAATATAGCTGCGAAATTAACACTATAAAAATTAGCGGCGGTAAATTCAGGCATATGGATAACAGAGCAATGTGTTAAATGTGACATATTTTTCGTCCACTCATCAGTAACCGCATCTTTTAAAGACAAAGAAATAGTTACTGCTTGAGTACAATTAGTAACCAGACGCTTTCCTTCATCAATTATAAATTGAGCACTGATTACAAAACCAAGCCACATTACCTACAAAATAAAATAATCACAAATGCATTGAATAATATTTACAAAAAATACTTACCCCGTAAATTGTAGCGGAAAACAAATAAAATGAAATTTCATCCGTTTCTAGATCAATCGAAACAATACGCACTACAATGGACAAAAAATATAGTACAAAAATACAGTTTAGTATTAAAATAATTGGGCCATAGAGTTTGTTAAAAATGTGAATAATCCGCACAATTCTCGTGTGTATTTCAAGCAATTCGATAATTTTTTCATCATCCATCATACGCCAACTGTTTTTGATATTTGTCACAGTAGTTATTTTCATCTTAATTTCAGCTTTGTGCAATTTCGATATTGATTTATTTAGTCTCTTTAGTCGCAATCGGATTTTGTGCATTATGATGTATGCAACAAGTATATCCAAGGCTAAAGTATACTCTAACCAAACTGCAATTATTATTAACAGTATGGGTTGAGGTATAGATATCAAAACTTGGTTGCGAAATATAATATTACAAGCGAATAGTATATGAAAAGTAATCAATTTGACTATCGCATATAATATCTTAGGAGATTTTGGTTTCTGCACATTGTCAATCTCTTGAAAAGCCTTCTTCATGCCATTGTAATCTTTTATATATAAAAGATTTTTAAATAAAACAATTAGAAGGATGGTAACACCAACCAAAGTATATGTAAGCAAATCCAATGTATCAATTGCCAAATTATTTGCGGAGTAATTACCAGTTTTAGTATTTGGATGAAACCAATTATGGAATATAAAATTGTTCCAGAGATTAAAGAACTTTGTATAATAGATCGAATTTTATGCAATATAGGATGCTTATCACTGAATTTACTTGGCAAAGAGCCTATTATTTCCGCTGTTTTTATAAAGATGTTTTTCATTTTCAAGATTTTACTTGCTGTAAATGCACAACACTTGATCGAAGCGTATGAACAACATTGATTGTGCTGAAAGGTCATGTACTTGACAAGAATAGTAACAGTATTGGTAAACAGGCTTATTTATTGTTGAATTTTGATTGACATAAAAAGTTGTATATTAGCTACAGAAAATATGTGTTTGTTGAATTAATAATTTATTACTAACGTGTAACTGCCCAGGTACTCTTCGTACTGCTTCATCAATATGTGTCGTTTCATATTAATTATTATTGAAATAAAAAAATAAATCTGTTTATTATAACATTCATACGTTGAAAATCACATGATTTATGATGGAGTATTGGATTTGCTTTATTGAAAAGGATGAAAGTATATGTAACAATGTCAATAATTGTTTTATGCTTTTATTTAATCTGTTATAAACTAATGACTTTAGTAGACTTTCGTGCGACAATAATTTTATTCAGAAAATATATTTTTCTCTCTTTTTCTGTTTTTTTTATTTCTTTGAGAAATGACAAATCAGGAAGCTCTCAAACATTCTGCACAAACTCGTAAAAACACTTTGAATATAACAATAAGTCACAATTAAGTAAGCTTTTCTTCAATATGTATTTAAGAGATCAACCACAACTTTACTTATTGCTCCCATTTGAAAATTGCACCACAACTACTACATAGCTTGTCATCATATTAAAAATAGTGAATATAGCGGCAAAATTAACACTATAAAAATTAGCGGCTGTAAATTCAGGCATATGTATAACACTGCACTGTGTTAAATGTGCCATATTTTTCGTCCACGCATCAGAAACCGCATGTTTCAATGACAAAGACCCAGTTATTGCTTGAGTACAATTAGCAACCAGATGCTTTCCTTCATTAATTATAAAATGAGCATTGAATACAAAAACAAGCCACATTACCTAAAAATTAAATATTAAATTTGTCTTAAAACTTATTGCACTTGTTATAAAATACTCACTACATAGAAAGCAGCGCTAAATAAATCAAAAGATATTTCGCTAGTTTCCATCTCAATTGAAACAATACGCAGCACAATGGACAAAAATATAATATAAACGAACAGTTTAGGATTAAAATGATTGAGCCATAGAGTTTATTAAAAATGTGATTGATTTGCACAATTTTCGTGTGTATTTGAAGTAATTCGATGATTTTTTATCATCCATCATACTCGTACTTAAACTTTTCTTGTTAATTATTACAGAGGTTACATTCAAATTGATTGCAGTTTCATGCAATTTCAATATGAATTCATTTAAGATCTTTAGTCTTAATCGGAGTTCGGATAATATGTTGTATGCAACAATTATATCCATGACTGAAACATACTCTAACCAAGTTATTACTATATTGAATAGCGGTGGTATATAAAATGATAATTGAATTTGAAAACGTAATATCAAATTCCCAATATATAATAAATGAAAAATAACAAACTTATATCTCATATAATTTTTCAGGAGGTTTTGGTTTCAATACCATATCAATCTCTTGGAAATCTCTCATCATGTTTTTATAATCTTTAATATACACATGATTTTTATATAAAATACCAATCATAATGTTGATACCAACTAGAATGCATGTAGATATGTCCATGATACTCATTGTCATTAAATGTCCAGAGTATATACCAGCTTTTGCGCTTCGGATAAAATTATCCATGGTAGGGTAAAACACCCAATCGTTGGCACTCCTCCAATTATTGGCACTTTATGTTTTAATTCGAAAAACAAAGGAAACCATAGATTATTCAAGTTTTATATACATTAAATTGAACAATAGTATATTTTTCTGTTCAAAGTTGACTACACTGTTCCAATAACTAATATGGCGATTTAGATACAACAGCGGATATTTTGTGTTTGAGAATTTTGGTGCAGTTATTTTGTTTTTTCTTCTTGAGGTGAGACCTTTTTTAACATTGTATATCGCAGCTATTCGGCTAATAGATACTTTTGTATTAATTTGATATGCTTAATTACACGTTTAGGCAATAGATTCAAAGATTATTTCTTGAATATATCTTTTATCACATTGATTTATTACATGTGCCAACATATGGATCAAGAATTTATCAAAATCCTATTCTTGGCACCCGTGCCAATAACTAAAAGCTAATTATTGGCAGTAGTGCCCATATTAGAATATTGAGTGCTAATATTGTTTTTTTTTTTATTCATTTAGATCATGATCATGATAGTCATATTAGAACTAACAAAAAGTAAACAATAACGGAAATTAACTTAATGTTACTTTTTGGTTCTAGAACATTGCGACCTAGGTATATAAAATAGGGATGTTGAGTATTTGTTTTTAAGTAGATTCATAATCCGACTCATTAATATTTTGTTGGTGGTTAAGCATAAATGTTAAAAGATCTCAAGGATAGCCATTTAAGTACTAATAAAGTGAAACTAGTAGCTAGAATAAGATAAAGTGCTTATATAGGGATAAAAATTGAATTACAAAATATTTTTATGCACATTTTAAATGCCTACTATAAGTTAGACTACTTGTGTAAATAAAGGCAGATATTTAATTAATAAAATATTGTTTTAATTATACGTTAAGTAAGCATTTTCAACTTTATTGATAGGTAGGTACCTACATATCTCCTACTTGAACTACATGCCAATAATTAGCCGAGTAGGGGCCAATATTGAGATTTTCTATGCCAATAATAGGATTTTCTGCAGTCTTTTGGATTTTGAGCATATGTTTATTTATTATTTTTCCATCACTTAAAAACTGTTATAAAAAACAAAGATTAAAGTATTTTCTTTGATTTTGTCACATGTTTTGTTTACTAACTAATGTAAATGGGATTTTATGACAATATAATTCCAGACTGACATGTAGTTCTCTCTTAGAGTACCAATGATTGGATACTTTGCCCTATGTAATCTGGGATACCTATCACTAAATTTACTTGGAACACATCCTAATATTTTAGCTGCTTTTATAAAGATGTTATTCATTTTAAAGATTTTACGTTAAAACTTTACACTTGGTCGCAACAAATGATCAACATTGATTGTGTTGAAGGGTCATGAATTTGACAAGAATGGTAGCAGTTGGTAGTTGTAAACATGCTTATTTATTGTGTTCCTTCACGCAGAAACATTACGAGTATGTTATACATATTTGTTTAAAATATTGTTTCAGGGCAATTTATTATTCGTATGAAGGTCTGTTTTGATGTATATTATTGAAGTATGATTTTTATAAAAGCAGTGTATTAGCTGCAGATAAATCGTGTTTGTTGAATGAATAATTTATTACTCACTCGTAACTGCATGGGTAAACTTCGTACTTCGTTAAATTAATTATTAATTGAATAGGAAATAAATGTATTTTTAATATTCCACTTTAAAATCATGTAATTTCGTGTTTACTGTCGCCAATCAACAATAACCAATTAAACAACAACGCTAATCAAAAATGATAGTAAATTGTAGTATTTTATTATGAAAACTCATCAACATTTACTAATTTTATACTTACAACTTTCAATTACAATATAAACTAAACTAATCAGCCACCAATTTAATTACTGCCTCCTTTAGAAAATTGCACGACAACCACAATATATCCTGTCATCATATTAAAAATAGTGAATATAGCTGCGAAATTAACACTATAAAAATTAGCGGCGGTAAATTCAGGCATATGTATAAT